CTCCAAATAATATCATTTTGTAGCAATTGTTAAGTTCTATAATATCATCTAATTTAGTTGGCCTAAAAATATTAATTGTAAAAGAAGCTATGACAGATCCCGCGAAGGCCCGGCAAAGGCCCGGTCGCATATATGGCGATTTTCGGGTACAAACTCCCAATTTTTCGGATGTTTTGTACCCCCGGATGCGGATTTTAAACCCCTAAATCGCTATGTCATCTAATAACCACAAAATCTATTTACTTTCTGTATTACTTGCTATCGAAACCCCGAAGTTTTGAAACTCGGAATTTTCGACATTCTGAAAAATTCCAAAAAGGTCCTTCCGAGAAAAGAGAAAACAGAAAAATCACAAATCTTGTATTAATTTATTTTCAATAATATAAAAACTGTTATAAACTGAAACCATCCATCGTAGGTGTAACACTCCTAGCTTGTGATGAAGTCGTACTATTTTTCCTTTCCTTTTTCAGAAGTGACTTCATTGGATCCGACCCATTCTCTTCCAGCAACCAAAACGTCTCCATCACCCCTTTTCCTTTTATTATCACTTCTCCTCGTGCTTCTGTTCTGAATCCCCCTACGACTTTTGTCAGAAGACGATTCGCTTCGGATGACACGTGGATTCTTCCAGCTGAAAAGACCATTTCATACATCGCTGCTTGAAACCAACATACGTTTTCCGTTACTCTCCATTCTGCTGGCGGTATTCACTGCATCTCCAAAAAGGCAATAGCGTGGCATTGTGAGACCAACTACTCCAGCTACAACGGACCCTGAATATACAAAAAATAAGCTATAAACACTTTTATAATCTGCACTTACCACAATTGATACCAATTCTCAAATTGATTCTTTCATTTGGCATATGAGAAATTCTAAACTTTGCTAAACTGGACAAAAATGCAAGAGACATTCGGGCGATATGCCGAATGTGTTCATTTCCATTTCGATGGGGTAGTCCAGAAACACAAAGATATCCATCTCCAATTGTTTCCACCTGGAACCGAATATTTGAAAATGGAACCTCTGAAAATCTATTTACCTTGTATACATCATGTTGCTCTATAATACTATCAAATATTGTATACAGATCATTAAGTAATTGAACGACTTGAAGAGGAGTGCATTTTCCAGCAAGAACTGTGAACTGGACGACATCCGAAAAGAAAATTGTGACTAGTTCGAATGTCTCTGGCTGGATAGAAAGCCCCGATTTCAGTTTGTCGGCAACAGTTCTGAAACTTTGATTTCTCAGAAAACTACAGTATACAATATATACTCACTTTGGTAGCATTCGGTACAACAGCAAATCCGATTTTTTCTTTTCTTCCACCAATTCTTTGGTTCTTTCCGAAACTTCATCCTCCAAATTTGATGCATAAGCTTCCAACATATTGAATACATGATCCATTAAATTCACCTTTTTTCCATCATTCATCCCTTTCAACAAACTTTTCACTTGATCAATCGGAGGCCTTTCCGATGGTTTTTCAGTCCAACAATCTCTGATTAAATGGGTCAGTGCTGGATTGATTTCCAATGATTCATCGGTTAGCAAAGATGGACGAATTGCATTGAATCCTCCTTTTTTCAATTGATAGATTATTTCTTCTGGTTTCTCTTTTCGATTCTCAATATCGAATGCTGATGATCTGGTGATAATTTCAGAACAAATGATTCCAAAACTATAAATATCTCCTTCCTGTGTCCTCTCTTCCGTTTCATTTCTCAACACTTCTGGAGCACTCCAAAGCATTCCTTTCTTACTAACTTCGTCGGATTGTCGAATCATTGGAATCCCGAAACTCGATATTTTCACTTGCCATCGATCATCAATCAGACAGTTTTTAGAACTCAAGTATCCATGAAGATGTAGAATGGAAGAATGAATGAACGCAAGTCCGTTTGCTATGTCATGGATTAAAGAGAACATGAAAAAGGCATCCATTTGCATGGAGCTTCTTTCAATGACATCAGCCAATGATCCTCTTGAACAATATCTATACACAGACATCAGCTGGGGACCATTCAGACACAAACCAATGAACTTGTTTATATTGTCATGATCGAGACTTCTCATCTGAATTTAGAAATGCTCAGCATAATTTTGATGTAAAAATTTAATCTCCAAGAGATTCTAACTCACTTGTCTTAATTGGTATCTTTCTTGCTCTGTTAATGAAGGTCTTGCATTGTGTTTGTTCGCCGCCACCATCTCGTTCTGAAATGCTTTGCTTTCAATGTAAAGCTCTAAAACAATTTACACATTTCACACCTTATACAGGTAGAAACTGAATCGGTTTGTTTCAGTTCGACTCTCCAATGTTAACTTAGTAGATGTAGAGGGACCACTAGCAAATGAACGCTGACTCGCTTCGCTTTTTGACTTCTTGGGAATAATTTGAAGATGACCCACATCAACGTGCCACAATTCATCTTGTCGTTCGATTTCTCTCTGTTTCTGTCTGAATTTCGAAGTAGATGAATAGGAATCCGAAGATTATAATTCTCACTTTATAGCATAAAACACTCCCCCGATAGCTGCTCCAATTGCGAAAACTAGAAAAACAGCGATGATGGCAACGAAAGCCAAATAGTCTCGAACAAAGTTTGGTGGACACTGATTTCCGGTAAATCCACAAATTGGTTTCACTTTTGGACGCTCTCTTCCATTCCAGACATCGTACATTTCATTCGCATATAAAGGTTCGAAGTCGATAGATTGATTATTGATTACAAATCTTCCATAAGTTTCCGGTAGTTTCGATGAATTCAAACCAATCATGGTGATAACTGAAGTACGTGACGAGTCAGGATCCACTGTCACGTCTCCCCCTCCGACGCCTTCAAATGTCATTCCAATGTTTCCCAGAATCATTGTTCCGTTTCTGATGTCTGCGTACGGATTAGAAGTCAAACTTCTGTTCAAAGCAACTGCGTAGGCGTAGAAGGCGTCAGCGAGTTGACCGGCATATTTTGCTACCTGGGTTCCGCTATTATGAAAAAAAATTTGTAGAGTCCAACTCACCGAAGAATACTGTTCTCCTGCACAATCTTCAATACAATTGAATGGTGGATCCTTCATCATTTCAATGACTTTTCTCGAGAAATTCAGATATTGTGGAGTCACTTCATCATTCATTCCCATATTCTAAAAGTTCTTCAATCAGTTTTTTTTCTACTTTCTCTCATTCTCACATCAACCAAAAACAACAAGTTGGCCATTGATTGTCTAGAATCTTCCGATGTAAAGCTTGCTGAATCATTGAACACTCCCTCCCATAAATAATGCCATTTGCCTCCCGGCTCGTCAACAACTGCAAAATGAATATTTTCTGCAAGTGATGTTCTAGAAAATCTTACTGAATCCTCTGGAATTAGTCTCAGCCATGATATAAACATATTCACTGTTATTAGCTTCTTCCAGTGATGCTGCTTGCATCAGAGTTCGCTTCGATCCGTTCCCCGAAGCCACACACGCCACGATGACTGAAATATTAATAATTATTTTGAAGGAGGGGAAGGGCTTGATCATACTTCTTCCCCTTTTTTTAATATCTCGAATTGCGGTTCGCATGTCTGATAAGCTTCCAGTCATGATGCGAGTTGTATAGGCGAGAGTTATATCCGAATGTTGGGATGCAACTGTCTGAAATATACTTATTAACAGAAAAGAATCACCGAATCATGCCCCATTACTCATTTTCATTAACAAAACATATATTCAAACTATTTGATCTATGGAAAAAAGAAGTACCATGAAGGTCTTCTGACCCGCATGGAACTATCCAGACTAGCATCACACATCTTCTTTAAAGATCAACGACAAATAATACCTGAATATCATCTTTCAATGATTCACACTTCTCATCGTCACCATCATTACAATACATGAATACGAATTCAGTCCATTCGAATTGTTTCAAAGTTCCACGAATTGCCATTGCAAGACTGTAACTGTTTACAGAGAATGGAAGAGATGTTGGATATCTGACGACGTCTGTCAATTGACGAGCCGATGTGAGACCCCATTCGAATATCGGAATATTGTACTGAGCAGCGAGGGTGGAGGATATCATACCGGCTAAAAATTCAATGTTTTAGGTTGTTTCAGAGTCCGAATTTCTTGAAATCTTACATCGAGAGCAAGTGGGTCCAAAAATAACATCAACCCTCTTATTCACCAATAAATCGACTGTTTTCCCAGCTGCTTGAATTTCGTTACATTCGTCAAAATCATAAATGAATCTGGAATCTTCAACTGAATGTTCAAATTGTTTCTTTATCAAAAAACGAACTCAAAATCAAAATTATCCAATAAATGTTCCTCTCGAATCTTTTCTTTTGTTACTAAAACTGCCGATGCTGATGTTCTGTATCCAATTGCAACTTGTAAATTTGTGACATTTTGTACAAAAATCAGTCCAACTTTTAGTGTTTGTCGGACTTGGCATTGGGTTAAAACCTAGAAAAATCAAAATTATTAAACAGAAAGAAAAAAAGAAAGAAAAAAATCTCACCAAAAAAGTTGTGAAGATGATTATTAAAAGTCGTTGGATCATAATAAAAAGTTATTATAACGACTTTTTCCAGACTTATAAAGAACCAAGAAGCCGTATATTCAAGTTGGATCAGTTCATGGAAACTTTTCCGTCTCTTTAGTCATGAACGCTCATGAAGACTTTTAATAATGTGGAAAAATCAAGAAAGTGATATCAAGAAAGATAACTATTGTCTGGTCTATACAGCAAGTGGTAGCAGGAATGACAACTTCTAAAAATATAAATAAGAGCTAGGCACAATCAGAACTACAAAGAAGGACTGGAAGAATGAGATCTCGTCTGATGGTTCAGCTTCCAACAGTCCACCACCAAATTTTACCTTTTTATAATTCTTTTTTCTTTTGTTCTGGCAAATATTCATGTCTACGTACACGTATAGTCCTCCGCCGAGAGTTCAGTTATTACCTAATTCAGGTGTCTTTTGTCTTGTTCTTCCTGAAACTAATTTTGTCCCTTTTTGTCCATTTTCAGAAAGAAGTATCTCATCTAAATCTTTATCTGAAGTGGAAAAAATCTGTTTAATCAAACTATTTTTGAGCTTTTTCTGGTTTAGCCGATTTCACTATTCTATTGAGCACTCTATGTGCAGAGATGCTCTTTTTTACTTTGGTCTTCCGAATTTTCTGAAAGGAAGTGAGTTTCTGGCGGATCTTTTCGATCTGGAAACATAATTCTAAAAAGGTCGATTCATGATTTCCCTCTCCGTTTTTCGAGAAACTGCTGAATTGAGCTTTCCGAAAAATTCAGAAATGAAAATTCGCTGAGGCTTCCAGAGTTTTCCTGAACTTGAATCTTGCAATACGACTCACTATCCGAAAGCAAGAAGTTTGAAATTGAAAAACTCTTAAAGGGATATGTGGTTATCATACAGTAATCTACAGTAGTTTCTGTTAAAATTATCATGAAATTTGTTGCTGTCAAAAGTCATTTAAGAAACCCCATAGGATTACGGTAAAAAAGTCTCATATTCCCTATGAATTAAAAAGGCCCTTTTTTAAATACCGTATTTTCTCTAATAGAAGTCCTCCTCGTGGCTGTGCTTCTCGGCTATTGCGGATATTTTTATTTCGACTTATGGTAATTTCCGTTAATTCTTGCCCTTATTGAAAATTCCTGTTCAGCTAAGGACCCTCTAGTTGAAGACCTTACTCTAATTGATGTCTACCCAGAAGAGGAGGTTGGAAAATAGAAGCCCATGGGCCTAGAGATTATTAGAGAAAATAGGTATATTTTTTTAAGCAATATTTTTATGAAACTTTGGAGCTATATGATCTGGTATTCTATGAAACCTAATTGGTTTCCTTTGCTAATGAAGCTCCAGAAAACAAATCATTAATTAAATTAGAATTTTGATTCAGACCAGCATTTTGCATTACAACTCCCCGACATCCAATTAGTCTCTAATCCCTGATTCCCACGACCTTTTCCCTTATAATTTCCTTGTTTCTCGAAATGTTTCCACATTTCATTTTGCTCTCCATTTCGTTTCCATGGTGATCAACGAAGAGGACAACATATAACAGAAATCGGAGGGCGTATTAATCCCCACTTTCTCTCTCCCATTTCTCCCTTGTGCCCCATTCTGCGGTTGTATAATCTCAGAGTCCCCCCTTTTCTAACCTGTTCTGATTTCCAATTTCAAATATAATGGAACAACAAGCAGAGCCTTCTGACTTCTCCACCCCTCAATCCAGTTCTTCTTCATTTGCTAAATCGTCTTCTATGGATCCTTGTAGTTATTCCTTATCGGAAACTTCCCAAAAGGTTCAAGAAACTACCGTACTAGATTCTAAATCACCCCAGATCTCTCTTGCCTTAGACTCACCAACTGTAGACATTAATGTTTTGAATCCACCTGATGCTCCTATAATGGATGCTTCTAAATCAGGAGACGCGATCCCTGCAGATCCTCAGCAGTACCCTCTCCCACAACATCCACCCGAAAATCATCAACATCCTCCAGGACATCCGGAATATTATCCAGCATTTCAACCGTATTATCCAATGGGATTTCATGCTCCAGAGTAAGTGAAACTGTATTTGGCTCTCCCTTAATTAGGTTTATTGAGAGGAAATAAACTCTATCTGACACTATTTGTCTTCTCCGTTCCTGCTCGGGCCGCAATATTTAGAGGTTTTAGATAATCAGAGATTTTGAAACCCTAAGCTTCTCTGTAATCAAATTTCTTTTTTGGTCCAGTTCCATAGAAAAAATCCTATAATTTTCAAACTTTTTACAGTAGGGTACTTCCGTTGATTGACAGAAAATATATCAAATAGTGGTTAAATGACAAATCGTTCATCATAAAATCTACAGTATTTCGTCAGTTTATCACCTTCTGATATATTTTCCATCAAACGAGATAACCTTGCTCAAAGTTGACGGTTGCGGTATACCAATAAATAAATAAAAAGTGTTGATAAAGTAACGTTTTCAACTTTCAGGACATTCTGGCTTGCACCTCCACCTGGCGCTCCTTACTACTTCGGTCTACCTCAAATGTATCCTCATAATCCTTATGCATCTCTTCTTGCTAACAATTCCAATGAAAAGAAAGAGCCACCCAGAGTTGCACCAAAAAATGAGGAAGCCCACTCATCTCCAGTTTCGGATTTGACACCAAACGAGTCAAGAGATATCAAAGCATTCAAGAAACCATTCACAGATAAGCAAAGAAATGTCATGCTGGAAAGATTCAGACAATCAGATAGAATCGGTTTGGAAGAAAGAAAAACATTGGCTGGAAGGATTGGATTGAGTGCAGAACAGGTTAGAACTTGGTTTGCAAATCAAAAAGCCAGAGAAAAAGCAGCTAAGAAGCATCCGCAAAAGTTGACTTTGTTGAAAGTGAATCCGGAGGAAAAAATGGAACATCGAGGATTGGTTGGATTCAATTATTGATGGATGGATACAAGGAAGCTCAAAATTTCCTTTTTTCTGGTTCTTTGTTTTATAGATATAACAAGTAGTGATTTTCAAAAGTTTTAATTTTGGGAAAAATATTCAGAAAGTGTTAATTTTTCTGTTATATTTGTTGAAAAAAACACGTTGCTCCCAAAAACTTAACGGTCCATCTTTTGGGAGATTCAAAAGATTCACGTGGCTCATGGCTTTGATGAGAAAATTAAAACTTTTGAAATTCTCTACTTGTTATATCACATTTCCTCGTTCATTCGTATTTTCAATTGTTTTACCTTCTGGCCAATAATTTTAAAGTTTTTAAATTGAATTGTAAACTCACCTCATTTTTATATGTGCCTCTTAAACCTAAAATCTGAAAATGAAACTACATCGTAATATCATAAATATGAAGTATTGAGACATTCTGTTTGATGAACGTTCTAAGATTTTCGTGATTCTAGGGATTCAGAGAATCGGGGTATACTTAAATCCTAGAGATCTTTTTCGTTCGGAGAGGTTTTTCAAAGTTTCGTCCAAATTTATTGTCGAATTTAAAAAAGTGGGACCTGGAAAATTTCGCGGGCGGATTCCCGGTCAATTTTCGAGAACTTGCCCCAGAAACACTACGGTAGTAAACGAAACTTATTTCTGTGAATTCAGTAGGATTTTCTGAACAAAATTTAGATTTTTTGGTATGAAAATGGTCGCTAGCATCTCTAAAATCTGTTTTTCATCGAAAAACCGAGCTTAATTGCGAAAGTAGCTCGAACGAGGGGAAAGTCTAAAATATTGCGTTTTTGCCGCACTTTCTCGTAGATCAAAAAAAGCGCGGGAATTCACGCTGCGCGGGAAATCAAATCTTCGTCCCTACTCGACACCTTTTTTAAGTCCATACGTTTTAAGAACCCCAGCAAATGATTTTCGAACAGTTGACCCATATATTTCATGACTCAATATTATCATTTGTCAGTTCAAGAGTCATTCCAAATGTGCGCAATTTATGTCACGTGTGACTCCGCCTGAGTTACTTTTCATCTCTGCGTCTCTCAATATCCCATACTATTTCCGTATGTTAGTTCAAAAGAAAGGTGTGATGATAAGTGCGGTAGCGGTGGGGTGATAAGAGAATGATTTGAGGGAAAAAATATTGGAAAGAAGGGGATTGAGTATGTTTACCGTCCAAATAGAAATTCACAGAGACTCTGAGCCAAACCGCCGCTCACTAAAATCTCTCTTTCGTCTCCGACCCGCAATATTGAAATTGTGAAAGACAAAAGGGTGAGAAAATCTCACCCATATCTTCTTTTTTCTGATACCGTTTCCTTTTTTTCGAGACCCTACTCGAAACCGTTTCTTCTTTGGTCTTTTTTTCGGCTAATTGAGTTTGTACGAATTCAAATTTTACAGTAAAAAAAAGTTATATTTTTCAAAAAGCTGAAATTTTTTGAAAATCAACTTTGAAGGGGGGTTCCGACAAAAAATTCAATTGCATCGAAATATTTTTAAAGTTATGTATTTTCTTAATGCTATTGCGAAATAATTTTTTCGATCCGAAATCATCGGAAAACTCCTTAAAAAGATGACAAATGGGGACGAAGATTTGTATTCCCGCACAGTGTGAAACCTAGGCCACTGCGGCAGGACGTCTATTTTCAGGTGACCGACAACATTAAAACTTGTTTTTTACGTTTTTCACGGAGAGGAAAACTATGAAAACCCTGAACATTGCCATGTAAAAAAAGCGTCCCACAGTGTTGTAGCCTAGATTTCTCGCTGCGCGGGAATTCAAATCTTCGTCCCAACTCGACACCTTTTTTAGATTGCCAACAGCGTTTTTCAGGAGTTTCGGATTTTTTCAAATTTTTTATGCAATATTATTAGGACGATTTATACTTTTCAAACATTTTATTTCAGTATTCTATTAAACATAATCGTCGGAGTCCCGGATGAAACGAAAAAATTGGAGATTCCGATCTTTTTTTTTTAAATGAAACAAACGAAAAATCACAGAAAATATATGAATAATAACTTTTTACCGTAATCCTTTAGAGTTCTTAAACTCAGCATCTTTTTTCTAAATATAACAATAGCCATTATTTTCATCAACCAATTGCCCATCTTTTTTTCTGACAATCGATCTGTCTCACTACATTCTCCCATTTTTCATTTTTCCGTGCAAAACGAATTACCAACTGTTGTTTGAAAAATAGAGGATGAAGAAGACATTCTCTTCTTCATCTTCTACTCATTTTGTTGTTGTTCTGTATCTATCTCTTCCCGGGAGGAGTAAAAAGAGAAAAAGAGAGCTCCCGAAAGCCCTTCGGCCGTCCAACACTAGCTCATAACACTTATTATTTTCAGTTTTTATGATTCTTAGACTTCTTTTCTTTTCGATATTCTCTGGTTTTAACACATGAAAGAATGAATTAACTAATTTGAATTTTTTCCTTTTTCAAAAATTGAAATTTTAAACAAATAATCTCAGTGGATCTTTATAGTTATCTAATTTTTAGGTACGTTGGGAAAGTACGTTCCGAAATCAATTTTGAAAATATTGATTTTAAGAAAGCTAACTAATTTCTTGCATACTGAATAAATTTTCAATCGGCTTAAAAAGTTTTCATTTCAATCGTCGGATCTCTCAAATTTAGCTGAACAAAATAACAAATGTCTCTTTCTCTCAACATTTTTTACAGTTTCAGCTCACTAATCAAAAAACTAATCGGAATTTCTCCAAATTTCTCATTTTTCCCTCCTTTTCATCTCCTACACTTTGTTTTTCGATGTGCACGAACAGCTGCAAACTTTTTTATCTTTTTGATGTATGAGAACTCATTGGAGGAAGAAAAACGGATTCCAGACTCTAACTAGAATTGCGTTTCAGACAACTGTGATTTTCAGATGGACAAAGATCTTTAAAAACATTTCCGTCTAAAAAATATTGCGGAAACCCCTGTAAACCCCCTTGTGAACCCAGATTCTGATGTAAATTTCAGGATAAGTTAAGGATAGCCTATCTAGATACTTCTGAAAATTTTAGAATCCGCTCCCCAGTAAGGTATGTCAGTTTCAGTACCAAAAAACAGTGACTTTCCAAAACAATGTTCTCAACTTCTAGGAAGTTTCAAAAACTTGTTGTGTTTTACTTAAGTTAGAACTGAATGAAATTTTATTTTTCAGACATTTTATCGAAATATTCTTCAAATTTTAAAGTTTTTCCTTATAAAAAAAACTTGAGAAAACAAAATTTTTCTTCAATTCTAATAGTAAGATTATTCCATGTCCTGAAACGTCCCAGAAGTTGAGAAAATCGTCTTTAATTTTTTGTACTGAAACTCGTACATATAACGAAAAACCTTCAATAGAAGGGCTCTCACCGCTGGCAACTTTGAGCAGACTCGTCCTGGCTCCTATTCAAGATATCTAACATAAGCCGACTGGTAAAATATTGGTGGTATTATGATTAAAAGTTTACCATTTGTCAACTGTTTTATATTTTTGACAGGATCCGAGATAGATTGAATGATTTTTTCAGATAGTTCTCAAACTATCTAAAAAACTGGTTTGTAAACTCTATGATAGTTTTTTCATTAACTTACGAAAATACTTTTCACAAGCTCTATAGACAACACAGTTTTATGAATTTAAAGTTTATGTTATTAGGTTGGCGGGAAAGTCTTTGTCACTCTGTTTGTTTAATCACTGTTCTCGTATATGGAGGCTGTGTATGATATCGACTTTAGTGAATAACAAGGTGATAAGAACCTTCCATATAAACAAGTCCCCATCTCCTTCCCTGCTCCTCATCTGTAATTGAAACGATATGTTTGTTCCCACTGCTATTCACATCAGACATGTTTTGATTTACCTCTTCCTATCTCACACCACGATGAAGGATTCGGAAACTTTCTTGAAGAATGTGTACAACACACATGCCCCTCACTACAATACTATTCGCAATTGGTTCCATCGTTTCGAAAAAGATGACTTCTCGCTCGATGAAAAGGATCGCTCTGGGAGACCCCGTGAGTTGGATTTGGACAAGCTGAAGCACGCATTGCAATCGGATCCATTTCAATCTAGCCGTGAACTAGCTGTCACATTCGGAGTTCACCATAGCACAGTCCTTGAAGGTTTGAAGTCTCTTGGAATGAGAAAACTTTTTGGTCGATTCATACCTCATCACCTGACTCAAGCCAACCTTGACCGCCGAGTCGACGATTCGATTACTCTTCTCACTCTCCACGCGGGCGATCGATGGCTGGACCGGCTAATAACCGGAGATGAGAAGTGGGTCTTCTACGATAATCACCACAGGAAATCCCAGTGGGTTGGAGAAGGAGAGAGCCCACAGGATGTCCCCAAACCCGACCTTCATGCGAAAAAAGTTATGCTCTCTGTGTGGTGGGGAGTGGACGGCCCCATCTACTGGGAACTTCTGCCCGAGGGCAAAACAATAACTGGAGACCTCTACACTACTCAACTACGAAACCTCAAGAAAGCAGTCGACCGTTCGGCCCTGAAAGACAAGAAAGTGTACTATCAACATGATAACGCTCGCCCACATGTTTCGAAACAAGTGAAGCAGGAGCTGATGGGATATGGATGGAATGTTCTCCCTCACCCCCCGTATTCTCCTGATCTTGCTCCTTCCGACTATTGGTTATTTGGCGATATGACACGTGCCTTCGAAGGAAGAAGCTTCAATTCCCGTGGAGCGGTCGAAGCGGCACTCAAACAATACTTTGCCTCACGCCCGGCTGGATTCTACCGCAATGGAATCCATAAATTGAGGGAACGTTGGAGACATGTTGTTGATAATGATGGACAATATAATTAATTATTCGGTTATTTTTTCTTTGAGAAATAAACTATTGAAAAAGTGACAAAGACTTTCCCGCCAACCTAATATAATTTGGTTTCAGGTCCGTCAGTTACAACTTCTCTTTTCAGAAACAGTTCAACTCCAAAACCAACTCGAGACTCCAGTTTTCCTAGGATTCCCCCCTAGTTTCTTCGAATTTCGACAGATCCCCTCCCCTCCCCCTCAAAATCTGATAAAAATAATCTGCGGTGCAAGTGTAATTCTGTGTCCGTTGAGCCGTCGTCGATCGCTCTGTTGTCTGTCTCTCCCCGATGATCCCCACAATATTTTCTTCCCACATGCAATTTCTTTTTCTTTCTCTCTCCCGGCAACAAATCTCTTTTTTCTTAGTCTTTTCCTTCGGCCGGAAATACTTCTTTCTCTCTTCCGGATATTCCCAATATCTTCTTTTTTTATTCATCCGTCTTTGCTTCCGCTCCCGGCGGGAAGGACCAACCGAATTCTGAATCTATTCTGAATAAATCCCGGATCATTGATTTCTAAAAAAATCAGGTGATCAACAGTTCAGACTGATTTGATAAGAGCTTTTGGAATTTTTTAAATGTCCGTCTCATTTTGTTCCGATCCGCTTTCAGATCAACTCAAACTTTACTTCTAATTTCAGCTCCTTTTTTTCGATTCCATCAAAATTAAACATCGTTCCATCATTACTTAGCATTCTCGGACTTCTACATTATTCTGCAAACTTCAAAAACTTCCAGACATCCCCGACCGAATTGTCTCAATGCACCTCGATTATTCACTTCCACTAGATGTCATTTGATTCCATATCAGCTGGTGCGATGGGATGTTTTCCCCGTCGAGCACATACGATAAATGCAACAGACGATGCACATACACATACAGTTGCAGTTTATATGCACAGTTTTAATCCTGACTGTGAAAATGATACGGTACATTTAGAAGTTCATAAAAGATGTACAACAGAGGAGCTTATCGAGAAAGTTTTGGCTGGAAGATCAGGTGAGATTTTTCTAAAATTAGATGAAAAATATCTTACTATTACCTCTGAATACTATTACCTATTATTATTAATATATATACCTATTATTACCTATTATTATATATTATTATTACTATTATTATTAATACTATTACCTCTGAATTGATGAGTTCCAAATTTTAATTTTTCCAGAGCTGGAAGGACAGTCGGTACAAGACTTTGACTTGTTTGAAATGATGGGAACACCCGATGGACAAACATATAAAGAACGTCGATTGGACCCTGGAGAATATCCTGTAGCCGTACAAGCAATATGGTCACGTCTTCCGGTTGTCGTTGATAGTGCCACACCAAAAAATCGATTCGTTTTTCGGCATCGAGGATATCGAGCAGCAACTGGAGGAACAAGATTTGGAAGCGCTGAAGTTGCTTCTTCTATTGATGCCTTTTTGACGAAATTCTTGGTTCAGCCACAGGTAATTTCTTTCTGATCTGATTTTCGACAATCCCTTTTTTCACTGGTGATTCAAAATATGATTAAAATTTTCTCTTTCTTTCAGGATCGAGAGTACGCGGATCTTTGTATGCTTCCTGAACTGACTGAACAAACTCTTTTGGATAATTTACGAGAACGATTCGCCAATGGACACATTTACACTTACATTGGTCCGATTCTGGTCGCTGTCAATCCTTTCTGCTTCTTTCCAATTTATAATCCAAAATATGCCAGATTGTATTTTCAAAGTAAAAGGCTTGGATCACTTCCTCCGCACATTTTCGCAATCGCTGATGTTTGTTATCACAAGTGAGTTTTTTATAATGAAAGGTTGGCCTGGCCTATGGATAAGATTTGAAATATTCCAGCATGCTCCGTATTAAAGAAAACCAATGTGTGGTGATTTCGGGAGAAAGTGGATCTGGAAAAACCGAGTCGACGAATCATTTGATGTCTCATTTGATATCCCTCTCTCAAAAAGGGTCAACTGGATGTAGTACAGAACAGACTCTACTGTCAGCTGGACCAGTTTTAGAAGCTTTTGGGAATGCGGTCACATTGACGAATAACAACAGCAGTCGATTTGGAAAATTCATAAAAATCAATTATAGAGAAAATGGAATGGTTTCGGGGTGAGTTTTCCATTTTCTGAAAATGATCTTATGAATTTTCTTTTGTAGAGCCAATGTGGAAATCTATCTGCTCGAAAAGTCTCGGATTATCTTTCAAACAAAAGGAGAAAGGTGAGAGAATTAACTTTATGTGAGATGGTGCCAGAACTTTGGATTTAGAAACTATCATGTGTTCTACTATCTACTAGAAGGAGCCGATGAAGAGGAGCGGAAAAAGTACTTCTTGTTGAAGCCCAATGACTACAAGTATTTGAATCAGGTTAGTTTTTTTTTTGAAAAAAATATTTAAAACAAAAATTTCAGAACGAGCCATTTGCACTGGAAGGAGTGAATGAGAGGAACGAATTCGATCGATTGAGGCATGCGATGAGCTCTGTTGGATTTTGTGCCAAAACTCAGCAAACTATTTTTGGAATCATTTCTGCTGTGCTACTTTTGGGAAATATCACTTATATCAAGGTAAGCAACAAAAAATACTCTCAAAGAAAAAGAAATTTCCAGAGGCATGGATATCATAGCGACGAGAGTGGATACATTGAAAATGAAGAAGTTGTCGATTTGGTCGCAAAACTTTTACACATTAAAACGGAAACTTTGATGCAAGCATTGACTATGAAACGGCATGTTATGAAGACAGAAACAGTGGTGTTGAGATACAGTGTTTCGGAGGTAAGAATCGCATTTTTGTAGAAAACACCGTAAAGCCTGTAAAAGACCCACTATGTCAAGTTTGAGCAGATTTTTCTTGGCTCTTCTGCAAGATGTCAAAACGGTGCCAACTGATAAAATGTATGTGATACTATGATAAACAATTTATCAGTTACCAACTTTTTTATATTTTTGACAGGAACCGAGATAAATTGGCTCAATGTTAAAAGTTAGGAGACCTCTCTATTAAAGGTTTTCCTGATAAATATTGAAATTTCAAATACTTCACTATTCCAAAAAATGGAAACTTCCAGGCAACAAACACTCGAGATGCTATGGCTAAATGTATTTACAACTCACTGTTCCATTACATCGTTTTGAGAATCAATCAAGCACTTTTGAAGAAAGATTTCTCTGCTGGAAAGGGATATTACATTGGTAATTCTATTAATTTTCATATTTAAATTGATTTTTTCAATTTCTTAGGGATCCTCGACATTTTCGGCTTCGAAGACGTCGGTGCCCAGTGCAACAGTTTTGAGCAGTTGTGCATCAATTATGCTAACGAAAAACTGCAATCCTATTTCAATCAACACATTTTCCAGTTTGAACAAGAGGAATATTTAAAGGAGGGAATTTCATGGACGAATATTGAATATACGGATAATACGGAATGTGTTCAGTTATTCCAGGTTTGATATTGGATTAATTAATTATTTGGACCTAGATTTATAGAGTAAACCATATGGAATTCTTCGCTTGATAGATGAAGAAAGTAATATTAACAATGGAACAGATGACTCGATGTTGGCAAAATTGAATCAGTTTTTGAAGGTAAAAAGCTTTTTTCAAAATTGAATGAAATTTAAAAATTCGAAATTCAACGAAATTTAATTGACACTGCAAAACTCAAAATTCAACAAAAAAAAAATGAAAGTTGAAAAGTTTCAGAACAATGAATACTACGAAACGCCACAGAAGAAAGAACCCGCCTTTATCGTTGCTCACTATGCTGGGAAAGTGAAATATCAGATAACAGGATTCCGAGAGAAAAATAAGGACTTGATGAGACAGGATGTGTTGAATGCATTGAAATCCAGTACGAGCTCAGTTATGAAAACTCTTTTGGGTATTGATCCAGTGGCTGTTCACAGATGGAATGTGCTCAGAAGTGTGTTCAGAGCAATGAACGCATTCAAACAATCGGCTAGGAAACTTCAGAAGAGTGGTGAGCGTTTTGAGCTTTTAGGATGACATATTGCATTTTTAGAATCCGCTGGACATCTCCGTGTCATGGATTCCATCGCTACCTCGCCTCGACGTGGATCCGATTCTGCTTTATCCGCCTTCCTCCGAGGAGAACTTCGATGTGAAGTGCCAGATTTCTGTGATACGAGTATGTTCAACACAATTAGAAATCAAGCCAGAAGAACACCTGCCGGGAAGTCTGATGACAAAATGAGTCTCCTGAAGTCGTTGCAAATTCTGAAAGAAGCGATTGGAGGAAGAAGATTGACTAAGAAACCTTCCTCGGTTTCTAAGCAATTTGAGTATTCATTGACGAGATTGATGAGCACTTTGGCAAATGCAACTCCATATTTCATTCGGTGTATCAAGAGTAATAATGATAAGGTATTTGTTTGGCTTTTTCTAATCTTAAAAGTCAAAAAATCAATTTCCATTTTCAGATCGCCAACCACTTCGACGACAACATAATTCTCCGCCAACTCCGCTACACTGGAATGCTGGAAACTGTCAGAATCCGTCGTGCCGGATATTCGGTCAGAATTGAGTATCCCAGTTTCGTCCAACAATACCGTACTCTCCTAAAAAATGGAAGAGATAGTACTGTAGAAGACGTGAAAGAGTTCATTCAATCGCACCCATCACTGGATAATGATAACATTCAATATGGAACACATAAGATTTTTATGAGAGACGCAGAGAAATTGATACTGGATGATCATCTTCATCGAACGATTATGCAGAGTATTGATACATTGCAGAGATGGTTTAGGACGATTTTGGCAAGGAAGAGATATTTGAGAATGAAGGAAGGAATCGTAAGGATTCAAGCATTAATTAGAGGATCTATAGCTAGAAATGAAGTGAGGAGGAAAGCATTGGCTGCTCAGACGATTCAATGTAATTGGAAAACATTCAAAGCTCGACAGAAATATGTATCAACTAGAAACTCGGTTATTGCAATTCAATCTGCATTCCGAGGAGCTGCGCTGCGAAAAAAGATTGGAGAAATTCCAAAAAATATCGGGAACGGAGGAGTGAATAATATCAAAAAGTCACCATTTAGAGTCAGAAAAGTGCATGCTGTCAATTTGACGAAATTCGATTTAAATGATCCAAACTCGTTGGCTGCATTCGCACTTTCTGATGATGATTCTGATAGTGATAAATCAACACAAGACGGATTGGATGATGATATTTCAGAAGAAAGTGATGCATTCCAAGAGTTAGTTTTTTTTTTTTAAATTTTTAGAACCTATCTTGTTTTTAGTGACGATGCTGTCGACGTTGATGCAACATTTATTCTGGAGGACACAAAACTGAAATTAATTGAAGGAGCTGAGCTGTCGCATCATAGAAGACAATCACTTGCTCCAACAGCTTCAACGACGAAATTGAAAATGTTGAGAAGAGCAAACAGTACAGAATCGAACAATTTCTCAGTTTCAAGATGTGATGATTCATTCACTGTAAGTTTCTAATATCAGACATCATCTTCATAAAAGAAGTTTCAGTTGAGTCCAACTAATTCCAAAAAGAAAACCGTTGGAACTGGAAAATTAGGATTCCAAAAAGCAAAAAAGAACCTGAAGGCGTTGTTTGGAAGGAAAGAAGACGAAGAAGAGCCATCCCCTGGACCCAGTTTTTCCAGTGAATTAACGCCGGATGTTTTCATTTCCAAAGATCATCAATTTAAAATGTCACGTCTTCATCGACAGGAGATTTGTGCACTGTGCAACCGACATCTCACTAATTTTATATCACAAGCACACAAATGTCAAAGTGAGTCATCAAAAGTTGTAATTTAATTTTTCAACTTATAACCTCAGGATGTAAAATGTGTCTTCATAAGGAATGTTTCGTATTTGCTTCCTCGATTCCATGTAATCCAACATCTCCAGTCCGGTCACCAACCCGATTGCACTCACCGAAAAGGCCATGGGATCTGATGTGAGTTTATAATATTTAAAAAATCCTGACCCTTCGTTTTCCAGGCCCCATAAACAACGACAATCATCATCTCCGATTCCAACCACCGGAACATTTAGTCTGACAAAAACCAAACAACAGGTACAGTAATACAATAAACTCAAATTTCTCAAAGTATTAATTTCAGACGGATCCTGGAAATATGGTTGTTGAGTCAACGGAAGATCTTCGTCAATTTAGTGTTTTCATTTTCAATAAAACTTCCACATTGTCAGGAACCACTTCAAAACGGTACTTATTTTCTGAAATTCAAATATTGAAATTCAGAATTCAAATTAAATTGTTTTCAGAGACACAATAGTCGACGCGGTGTTCAAAAAGTCTCTCAAATCGTTTCACATGGAACTTTTGGGTTACGAAGCTGTGCTATCCGTAAAGCCCTTTTATCCATTTCCAGCTATTTTTGAATATTTCAGGTTGATCAATCAGTACTTAAATATCGTGACGTCATCACAATGTTTGAAGGTCTTCTGACAAAAACTTGTATGGAAGAAAACGTTTCGTTCCCGACAACTTTGGGAGTGAATGCATTCAGAGGATTTCTAAACGAGTTCATGCATACTCAATCAAAGAAGAAGAGGGGAAAAGAGAAATCGTCAATGATCAAGGTACTTATACAATCCCAGAAATGTCTTTTTATCATGAATCAGAAAATAAGATTCGAAAATTAAAAAAAAAAGATTCAACTCCAAAAAAATCTTCAGAAAGTTGGAAAGAAGCGCAGAAAATCTGATGTAACGGCGGTAAGAAAAGAGTGTTATCCATAGAAACCTAGAAGAGACTTACAAAAGGGGTTTGGAGTTTTTTGGAACTTACAAATACATTTCACATTAATCTATTCCCAGTTTTTCTGATTTCATCCACCTCCTTTTTTGTTGTCTAATAGTTCAATGTTTTTTGTCACAATCGTAACAATTAACATAAGGTAAAAAGAGCTGTAGAAAGTTTGAAAATGGATAAAATGGGTCGAATTTCCGTAAAATCTGTATTAGAAGGGCCCTCTAATGGAAGGGCCCTTAATTTAGGTAAAATTGATGAATTCTCATGAATTTCAAAAGAGAATTTACCGAATTTTCAAATTAAAATTATCAGAAAAAAATGACCGGAAAAACATAAGGGCCTGATCTAATTGGAGCCTCTCTAATAGAATGGCCCTCCGGAGGTACCATGGAACAGTAAAAGGCCCAGTCCTGCTAATACATGCTTCACGGTCTTTCAGGGTACTTCACGGTAGTTATGATATTTCTACGGATGTCTGAGTTTCAAATTGTTTCAAAAACAAAGATTTATCTAAAACCTCACATTCGTTTTTTTCAAATTTCAGAGGTTCACTGATAACATTCTTTATAAATTTCGAAAACCAAACTCAATTGTCACAATCTCGGTCGAATTTTGAAGCTTTCAAACTTTTTAACTTTTGTGGATTTTTGAAATTAGCTTAAAGGAGCATCGTAGCAAATTCTCTAGAATTCAAGTAATATTTATGTTTTTCTTTAGTTTAAAAAAATCCGCTAGGGCCAGACCGGATGATTTTTGGGCCCGGAAAATATACTGGAACCTATGAACCTTCCAATTTTCAGAATTCAATCTAAACTCAAGATTCCTATCATTTTCATCTATTTATTGTTATCCAAAATTCCCAAAACTTTGCTATAATTTCTCCCACTTCCAGGTTCATGCGGGTCACCGATTCCGTGCGGATGTTGTCCATGTTCCGACGTATTGTGAAGTATGTAACCAGTTGATTTGGCATCACGAGAAACTATTCATCTGTGTTGCTTGTCGGATATCATGTCACAAAAAGTGTCAGCCAAAAGTCACCCATCCTTGTAGTCTGATTGGAAAAACTATCGATCCACAGGTACAAAAACAGTGGACGGTTATACATTTAAAAATTGGAGTTTCAGACAAATGGAGGAAGATTTTTCGGAGCCTCTCTGACTTCAATTGTAGATGATGATCATACGGTTCCAACGCTTTTGGATCGACTGTTTTTCGCAATTGAGACAAGAGCATTGTTTGTGGAAGGAGTGTATCGGTAGGGGTTTTGAATGAAACAGTTTGTTCAAAAAGTTGATATGTTTTCAGAAAAAGTGGTTCCCTTCCTCAGGTTCGAAGCATTCGGAAGGTTATTGAATCCACTCCAGGTAAGGGTTTTGAAAAAATAACCTGCATACCTGGTGTCTAGTTTAGCATATCTCTTTTCGATGGATCCATAAAAATTTAACCAAAAGTCTTATCATCTGTTTCATCTCTTTTACAAATGTCAGTCATTTAGAATAAAGTCTAGTTCCTGTCTGAAAATGACAGTTTAATGTTTGCTCTCCATAAATGAGGAATAGTTATACAGTAAACAAGAAAACATTTAATTTCAGATGCCGAATCCGTGAATCTAGAAGATGTTGGTGTCCATGTCCTCACTACTCTCGTGAAGGCATTTTTCCGAGAACTCGCCGAGCCGATCATCATTTTTGATCTCTATGAAAACTTTTTGAATGTTTCAGGTATTATTAGTCTGAAAGTAATTGTTTGACAATTCAAAAGTTCTGTTCCAGAAGTAGAAGACATGGGTGAACGAGTTCGTTGTCTATCCGTTATGATTGAACTATTGCCCAAACCGAATCGAGCTGTTTTAGATCGTTTAATGTATCACTTGGCGCGTGTTGCTGATCAGGAATCAGTCAATAAAATGGGATGTAACAATCTTGCCTTAATATTCGGACCATGTGTTCTTAGAAGACAAGATAGTACTCATGCTCAGGAACAATTGAATGACGTGGCAAGACAAACAGGCTGTGTTCAAACTTTGATTGAAGAGAAATTGAAACAATACAAAGCCACACTGCATAATATTGTTGAACTGGAAGATGCTAGTCATAAGGTTTGTGTATTTTAATACTAGATCAGATGAAAACAAATAACACAACTTCCAGGTGTCGGCTAACCTTCGGAAGATTGAGGAACACCGTCGGAATAGTGAACCTTCGAAGACATCACCAAATATTGGAACTGCCAAACAACTATTCGAAGAACAATTGGAGTTTTTGGGGAAACAAAAGTCAGTTATCTACCTTTTTTCGGTTAACCAACATTGTATTATTCCAGAGAACGTCTTCTACAAGAACTTCCTCCTTTGGCTCCAGTCGCTTCTTCAGAAGATCTCTCTTCATCAGATGAAAATGCAAATGCATCTAGCTCTCTATCCGTTGAAGAATATGCCCTTGATCTCGATGCACCGCCCGTATTCTGTCTTTTAAAGTATCCAACTAAGCTCCGCCCACCGGGTCCTTCACACAGAAGACGTCCCGATTTAGATCTTCGAAGAAAGGCGTTTGCTAACTCTCGTGGAATTGTATCATTTTATACACCGGTTGAATGACTTAAATTTGCTTTGGAAGTGAATGTGTTGGTATTGTTAGTTTTCAGATTTTAAAATGAGAAAGTGGGTGAGGAATCGTCGCTGGCGAAAGGAATGATTTCGAAAGCTTCCTCAGTGTTTTCAAACTACAAACATTTCAAACATGAACTCTTTCGAAAACTCGTGACTAGCAATACCGTAATCCGACCACATCAAACTCCAAAAAAAAAAACTAACAAAAATATCATTTTCATTCCTAATTTTTTCTCCTTTTTATGATCCTTTTTCCATCGTGCTCACCTAATTCTGCTCCATATCATTCCATTACTTTTAAATATAATTACTAATTAAATTACTTATTTTTCAATGAATAAATATAAAAAACAATCCAGTGGTTTTTGAAAAACGTTTTAGCGAAACTCAACAGTGGAGCCCAGGATACAAGGGTACATCAAAAAAGGGTACATCGAGGGTACATCGAGTTCTCTTAGGGTACATAGGATTCGATGTACCCTTGGATACTGATCCCATCATAGTAGTTTTAGCTATTCCTCATCTAAAAAAATATTATGAAGCATTCCCTTTCGGAGAAAAGTGATAAAACCTGTCAATTTTATTCCTCATTTTCCTTTTCGTATCTTTCCTCAGTCTAGTTTTCTTTATAACAGAGAACATGTTTGCAGTTCGTTCAGTATCTCTTTTTTCCGATTCCTTCCTCATACTTAAAAAAATGTCTACTAGCTGTGGTATTTGCTATGATGATTATGGTGAGTTCGTATGTTTTTTTCATGTTCTATAACGTTCAAATTTGGATTATTTGCTTCGAACTTAATTAGTTTTATTTCTAGAAGGAATTTTTTAAAGATTTAGAATCTCACTGTCCGGTTAGACTTCAGAATCTCATATTTTCTATAGTTCTTTTCGTAACCGAGGTACAGTATATCAATTTTGATCTAGCTTTCCTCGGTTCCTATTCCAGATATTACAACTGACTACAGGAAAAAAATACGGAAAATAAAACTATGTTTAGGTTACGGTATTTGTCGGTGTGGAACCTTCGCTTATGGCCGGCGATGTTTCTCTTTCTCAACTCCAATTTTTGTACCATAATTACATTCAAATACCTATAATATTGCTGTGATTGTTTAGTAGCCTTTCTCGTAGAGTTAAAAAAATTATTCTGGGTTTTAAAATACAATTAGTTAGATAGTTTGGAAGTATCAATACGGAAATTGATTTCAGACTCCGACGAACAAATCCCCTGCATCGGAACGTGTGGTCATACAATTTGCGATAGATGTCGCCTTCTGATGCACTCATCGAAATGTCCTCATTGTAACCGAAAAGAGGCATTTTCTGTGAAACATGTTAATAAACAACTCTGGGATCTCATTCAATTTTCCAACTTTGTTTTCGGAAAACCTCAAAATGTTGAAGATAATAAAAATCTGAAACAATGTACAAACTGTGGAGAGTTCTCGAAAAAACTGAGAGTTTGTCGCGATTGTTGTGTTCGGTCGGGCATCGTCCAGAAGTATTTCAGAGGAGATGAAGAAGTACTGGGAGATGAGGATGAAGTATGCGAGAAAATAAGGAGTCAGGCAATGTGTGGAGATTGTATTATTGATGGAGAACATTTTAGACATTCGACTGAGAATTTGGAAAAATTTATTGAAAGTTATCTTGATTTTTTGAGGATTATTAAAAAGTAATTGTATTGAATAAACAGAAAAAATGAGTTTGGAGCTTGTGAAAAAGTTGAAATTTACAGTAAACGAGAAAGTGAAATATAATTCTTGAAACAACCTTTTTTCCGGGAGCTACGGTGCGCCGACGGATCGGTCAGCTTGGTCGGCTGTCGGTCGGTCCCTCTAATTGAAACGCTCCTTTATTAGAAGGTCCCTCCAGAGATACCTTGAAACCCTTCTGGTACAGGTTTTACTGTAGTTATTACAATTGTTAATTCACTGAGCTAACTCGACGATTATCAAGCGTTATTAACTGGTCTGCTCACTTTTTTTTCAATTTTCTGGGTGATTTCCAAAAAACAAGAAAAGAAAAAAAACGTAACCTATTCGCGAGGCCTGAAATCCCCGTAATCCCCGTTTACCTGACAAGAAAAGGCGGTTATAAGGAAACAAAATCAGTAGAATTCGATTAGTATGAGACTTCTCAAGACTATTAAATTCCACCCGACCGCAATTCCTGGGAAGCGAGCAATGGATATAGGAACTATGATGGTAAGGATTGGGTCAGATCTTTAAATGTACTGTAGTTTCGTTTCCAGATCCTGATCTTCTTCTGTTTTGTTCCCGCGTTTTGCCAAACTCAACAAACACCACTGCCGGAAAGTTTCACATATTATTATCAGGAAGTAGAAAGACAGGGAATGGACGTTGATCACAGTGCTCTCATGATCTGTTATAAAATTGGCGGTGAAGTCAAACTTGTCGACTCTTCAAACCACGAGAAAGGCTACAAATGTGAAGGAAAAACTGCAACTTGGGTTGTAGACGATGTGAGTTAAGATTGACTGGAATTTCATTCATTTGGAAACTTCCAGAAACAAACCATGGAGTATTGCACCAGTCTAATCCCATATCACATCATCGAAGCGAAGAAACTAGCTCACGGTGTCTCCTGTACTTTCCGTAGGATATTTCAACATACAGTTCGGAGAACAATTTCCAATGTTTCAGAAATCAATCTGAAATGCGAGACTGGATGGTACCAGATGAAGAACAAGTGCTACAGTACATTTCCAGTAAAAAACGGTTTTGAAGCTGCAAAGGACTATTGTCTGAAACAAAAGCCGGAGATTAACACAAAGATTGCTGAGTACTACAGTGGACATCTTTCTAACTTCATTAAAGGCCTTACCTTTTCCGAGGCGTGGATATCTGCTCCTGAAATGGAATTAGCTTATGAAGGATCTGGTTTAGCGCCCGTGATGCTTTTGGGTGGAGCCTACAAATACGATACAAGGCCCGGAACAGTTTTCATGTTTGACGTCAACTCAAGAAAGGAAAAAGTTCTGTGTGAATACGCACCTCCAATGAACATGGCTGAGATGTACTTGCTTGCTGAAATGTACAGTGAGATATATCCAATTCATGTTACCACAACTGGAGCTGTTTTTTCTACTTCCAATTATTTGACGTAAGTCTCAAACAAGGGGTTGTTAGCCATCCAAGTTTTGATCAAAAATCGGCCCTTATGATGAAAAAAAAGTATTTTTTAAATATCCCTAGGGTTGGCTATGGGCGATACCCGCCCCGTGAGCCCCGCGCCCCGGGCACTTGTAGCTTTTAGGGTAACCTAGTTGAGTACCCTGAAACGCAAAAACTGCATCAAATATTTATCACATGACAGGACCGCCTGACTCAGATAAAATGTATTTCAGGATTCAACAAGAAGGTCTGAAAACGAACTCAAAGGGAGCATATGCAGAGAGTTTTACTACGAAAAACATCATTGACCGCTGTAAATCGATCGGCAACATCATTAGTGTGGACAGCCATCCAATGGCATCAATCCAAGAAGAATTTGATGAGGTTCAACGCTTTTTGAAGGTATTGAATATTATTCCTAACTAAACATAGCATTCGTATCATTACAGGATCATCGTTTCCATCTGACAAGTGCATACAAAAATGCGTTAGTTCATTGGGATTAATTGATTGGGTAAACACTTGTTTTACAGAGGATGCCAGAAGACAACTTATCAAGATTGGGACTTTGCCAGTGAAACTTTGTTTTCTGTTTACAAAACCGTTCACCAGACTAAAGAAGATTACTGTAGTTTCTCTTTCCATCCGTAAGATTTCATCTGTCCTGATTGTGCTTTTCATGTGAAATTTAGACTCAACCGCTTGCCTTCCGTAGCCGCGATGAGCACCAGCTCTTTGTTCTCTTCGTCAGTTTTACAGACTATTCCGAGACTATATATTTACATTTATTTCCAGATTCCTTTGCTTATGAATATGGTGATTGTGATCCTGGATGGGTAACTGCTAAGAGATCAAAAACAACCAAATTTTGTCACTATGTAAGTGAAATTCAAGTCGGATTTAACTTTTTTTTTCAGATATATACAGAAAAAGAAGTGACTCACGCAGAGGCAATAGCTGCATGTAAAGATCTGAACTCCGCTTTGACCGGATTTGAAAGCTTTGAAGAGTTTGAGTATGTCAAGAATCAATGTAAGTGACCTGATGTTGAGATAAAATTTAAAAAATGTAATGCTTTACAGTTTCTGACGACAAACCAGGGTGGGGTGACCATTTCTGGCTGGGTGGCATATTGCCATGTAAGGAAGATTGTACCGATCCTTCTTATAAAGCTAGCTGGGATGCTGGAGTCTCTAGAAATACTCATTTCCTGAACAATCACGACCACGATGGCTATCCCTGGGCAGCAGATGCTGATGATAACACAATTTCTTTCCGTTCTGATGTGGCCGCCTTCCACTCTCAGTAAGTTTCTGTTAAATATTTTTGCTTCTCATGTTTTCAATCAAAAAAACAAACTTTTTGAATATCTGAAAAAGTATGAAATGTTCGCCCGCTTGGTCTAAAAATTTTAGGGACTATGATACACATCTAGTAGTCAATGTTTTTATTCAACTTGAAACTCTAGAATTCGGTTCGTGCCATTAGTCTCAGAAAATTTAAAGTTTTTTACCGAATACATGTATATGCTCTTTGCAAGACAGTGGGAAAAAAATAGAAGGCCCCTTTCCTACGTTTGTTGTAATTCCAGTATTTTTTTCGAAAATTTAAAAACAAATTTTTTAACGACACCCTGTTCTTCGCAAAATTTTCATAACTTTTTTAATCATCAAAAATGTTCAACTTGAAGCGTCTCGGCAATGCCTGTCGCAAGTATGCTGAAAAGTGCGAAGCGAACCTTCCTTATCTTCCTTATATATAAAACGCTAGAGGCGTATGTCTGTCCTGATGAGGATCTGTGGATTTTTGAAAAACTTAAAAACTTAAAAAATACATATACCGTAAAACCTGTAATAGAAAAGCCCTCTCAATTTTAACTTTGAACCCATTCATCTCGGTTTCTGTCAAAGATGTAAAAAACTTGTGAACTGATAAATTATTTATTATATCAGAAGTGTTTTGTCAGTTGACCACTTTTTGATTTTGACAGGAACCGGGATAATTGAGTTCAAACTTGACAGTGTTAAGGCCCTTCTATTACAGGTTTCACAGGTGGATCGCGCAGAACACTATATGGGCGCATTGTGGCCCATACTGTGAATGCGCGCATATAGCGTTCGTTATGCCCTCTATATGGGCTGGTGGTTGCTGGTGGGCGGTGGTGAGCGTCGAGTAAGCAGGGAAAGCATATGCCCAGTCCGTGCTCGCATATAGGTTCCATATTCTGCACCGCGCGATCCCATATAACGTTCCTCGCGATCCACCTGTGTTTTGCGATTTACGTGACCCTTTTAGAAAAAGTGAGGAGCGGAGCGACGAACCAGTAAAACACTAGATTAAATCGCGCCGAAGGCTCACCAGCTTGCTGGTATTTTCATACTAATGTATTAATTTTTTCAGCGACAGCAACAGCATGTTCTTCAATAAGATGTACTATATTTGTGGCAAATATCCACCGTTTATTGTACAGAAGAAGAATATCAAAAATGTCAAGCAAAGTGGATAACATGAAACGAAAGAAACCAGCAACTGCAGTTTGATGGTTGATATCTTCTGATATCACGTTTACTCGTTTCTTCATCTAATAATAAGAACCGTAATAAAGATACTGTAATAATTCAATGAAAATATTTATATTTCTTTTTCCGAATTTTCGGCTCCAAGTTTTTGTTCTAAAGTTTTCATTTTCATTTAAAAAAAATTTTAACCTTAAAAAAAAATGAAAGAAACATCGAAAATAAACAATTGGGAACAGAACACTGGGAATTATAAGTTCGAAGGGAAAAACTGGGAATAAAAACATTTGAAGTAAAAAATTGGAAATTAAAAAATGTGAAGTGAAAAAGGAAATGAAAAATTGGGGATGAAACAAAGGAAATCAAAATTGAGAATGAAAAAGGGAAACAAAAAATTGGAACCGAAAAATTGGGATTTAAAAAGTTGGGAATGAAAAATTGGGAATAAAAAATGGGGATGAAAAATGGAAGATGAATGTTTGTAGTGACAAAAAATGAAAATTAAAAATTTGAAGTGAAAAGTTGGGAATAAAAAATGGGAATGAAAAATGGAAGATGAAAGTTTGAAATGAAAAAAAAGGAAGTTAAACATTTGAAGAAAAAAAAATCTGAAATGAAAACTTGGGATTGAGAAATGGAAATTGAAAAATTAGGAATGAAAAATTTGGGAATAAGAAAATAGAAGGTAAAAAATTAAATTGAAAAAAAATGTAAATGAAAATTTGGAAATAAAAAATAGGAATAAAAAAATGGAAGATGAAAGTTTGTAGTGAAAAAAAATTGGGAATCAAAAACTGGATATGAAAAGTTAGAAATGAAAATTGGGAGTCAAAAATGGGAATGAAAAAATGGAAGTTAAAAATTTGAAATGAAAAAATGGAAAAGAAAAATTAGAAATTAAGAAATGGAAATTAAAATTGTGAGATGAAAAATCGGAAATACAAAAAATCGGAGGGTAAATCTAGGACTAAAAAAAAATGAAAATAAAAAAAATGAAAAATGAAAAATTCGAAATAAAAAATTGGGAAGAAAAAATTGCGAACAAAACATTGGGAATAAAAAAAATGGAAATTAAAACGTTAGAAATGAAAAATTGGGAATCAAAAACGGTAGTTAAAACGTTAAAAGCAAAATTAGGGAATTAGAAAGGAAGTTAAAATTTTTGAAGAAAAAAATTGGGATTGAGAAAATGGAAATTAAAATTTGAAGTGAAAAATTGGGAGCCGGAAAATTGGAAAAATGAAAAAGGGAAAGACAAATAGGAAATGTGAAATTCAGCGAAAAAACAGAAATTGAAGTTTTGAAGTGAACGTTTAGGAATCAAAAATGGAGAAATAAAAATGGGATTCAAAACTTTAAAAATAAAAGTTAACAAAAAAAGTGAATAATAAAGGAAATGAAAAATGGGGAAAAAGTCCCAGAAAACGGGTGAAAGGATCCGGGATTTCTCCTAATTTCAACAGTTTGAGGTTTTCATTTGGTATTTCAGCGTGAAAATGTTGGTTTACAATCCAACAATCCACGTCTGACAACTGAAATCCTAATTCAAAAAAAAATTGAAATCAGTTTTTCAAAACAGTTAGTTGTTGGATCGGACACAATGAGACCACTTCTGAAGTAAGGAGTTATGTTTCCTAAAAAAAAGGAATAAAAACTAAAATCTCCAGATTTGCGTTGACCGCAATATTTGGTCTCTCAATCGTCGTTGCTTATCGTTTGTATCACGTGAGAAATCGCAGAAGAAGCAACTGTAATAACAAGAAAAAGCAACCGATTCGAAAATTGAAAAGTGAAGGGTACCTTGAAAAATGTCTGTTCTAAAAAACAATTTCAGGAACCAAACCAAAAAACTCGCCAACTTCGGAAAGCTCGACCTCAAAACAAAGTCCAAAGAAAATCGCCCCGAAAAAACCAAAGGATGCGGATGTATCCTTGAGACCAACAGGATCTGATATTCTTCATCCGGCTCCATTCGATGTAAACTTGGAAAAATCTTGATGTTTTATGTTATGAATTTTCAGAATGTGACAGGAACGATGACTGTTCCAAGATCCAATGAAAAGGCTGATGATTCTTCATCTCCACATTCATCGATTACTTATCTTCGAGATCCTTCTGAAGCCAGAATCTCTCCAAAACCAGCCAAGAACTCTGCGGAAAAGACGACGGATGTAACAGTGAAGACTGGATCAAAAGAAGATGATAAAAAGCCAAAGGAATCTTCCTCGAGTTTGGATAATGTTAGGATTCTATGACGAATTTCCCAATTTGTAACTCTAAAACTTCCAGCGTGCAACAAACAAATTGGTGGGAACTCAAACCGAATCAGAACGCAAAGAGATCGAACAAATGCCATATTCATTCGAGAGTTGTGCAACCGCGAAGTTCGAACCAGCACAGCCTCAGAAGGGATCTGGAGAAAAGATTGAAGATTCGCCAAGCTCGAAAACAAAGATTGAGAAAAAGCCAGAAGAAGAAAAGAAGGAAAACACTGAGGAGAAGAAAAAAAAGAGAGAAACTATTGAGAATGGATCAGCAGAAAGAAGTCTGAGTGAACCGAACACCACTGATATCATCGTTCCATCTGGCACCGGTGGTAAGTCCTAGAGGATTCTGTTCATTTGAAAAGGAATGATGATTCTGAATAAATATTTCATTGAAATGCTCGTTGTTTTTTGTTTTATACACAATTGGCTCTGAAATTGGAAGAATTATTCCTTTTCAAATGATCAGATTCGACCACCTTTGACATTCTTTTAGCCATCATTGCATTCGGGAATCCCGTGACTCCTCTTCCTCCAATCCCATGTCCAACTCTGACTTCTCCTCTCGAAACTTCTTCGCCGGTACACTAGCTCAGCGTTCTATTTCTCGTAAATTTTGACTTCCAGAAAATCACCGAGCCATCTGCCGCTCTGATCGAAACTGCCGTCGAACGAAACGCCGAATCGTCGATTTCTCTGGATACCGTTCAATCGATGTACAAAGTTTGTAGGTGTCGAAAGAAGGATCGTTGTGGATTGTTGATAGATTCTGAAGCTCCTGTCTACGATCCGAATCTTAAATTAGATATTCCAGTGACAAAAGTCATTCCAGTTAGTTTCCATAAATACAATCCACCGAACCTTATGGATCCCCCAACCGATGGAAGTACTGGTAAGAAAATTTATTTAAACATGGTGCACCAAATGGTGTGTGCTGAAACTTTTTATTGCTTCATTTTGTAAAAAAAACTATGTAGATTCCCATAAAAATAAAGAAGCAAGTTTTAAAAAATTCCTTCCGATAAAACGCGTCGAAAAAGCAAAGTTGTTTGTGGTGGCCGGCTGGCCGAGTGTGAGTTTCCTAGTCCCCTTGAGGTGAAGAAGCGCGCGAATTCGAGTTTATCATTGATTTTCAGTGTTTTTGTCAGGTTTTCTTTCAGGTTTTTTGAAATATCTGGGAGAAAAATTAACAAATACCTTGAAAATTATGAAAAATTGAAAAAACATTGAAAAACAATAATAAATTCGAATTTCAATTAAAATTAATCGCAAACATGCAAAACGTTGGTGGAAATTGACAAAGAAATTTCGAAAACGCAAAAAAAATATTTCAAAAATCGAATTCCGAATAAATTCTGAATATTCCGTTCGGGATTTTCGGAATACCGTTCCGAACATCCGTGGTTTCCCTTCTTTTTTGAAAAAAGTTGTTTTTAATATTTCAGAAATCATCGAACTCCCCGACAGTTACATTACTGCAAACGAGGATGAACCTGATGTAACCATAACCATCCTTCCCCATGTATTTCGCAGTTTTCAGAACTATTTGTCTCCAATGTATCCGATGCTTGCCACAATGAATGCTGCACACCAACATGCCTGCCTCATCAACCATCTTATTGAGAACTACGAATTCTTTGAATGAAAAAATACATGTGATCATCATTTTGATTTTATTAAACGACAAGATAAACAACTTGATTAAGAAAAAGAAAAAAATAAAGCGATTTTTGAAAAATCAGTGCGAGAGGACGAGTCAAGTTGTAGGGGGTGGAGCTCATTAATGAGAGAAAGTTTTAAAAAGTACAAAGCGTTGAGGAGGGACAATAAAGTGGTTTGATGATGACATTTGGAAATTATGAGATTCAATAAGCTAAGAGAGCGAAAAAGATTATAAAGATAAAGTTGGTACAGATTATGGATCGATATGTATCGATATGAGGGTATTCAATGCTTATGGATCGATATGAGGGTCTCCAATGATGACTGCACTTGGATCGACCTCTTCATCGATTATGACGCCTCCAACGAGAGCATCACTTATCATTTGGTCGTTTACTTGTTCCTCCACAATCACTTGTTCCATTCCGCCTGAAACAAATTGATTAGTTTCAAAAAATCTTAGAATTCGCCGAGTCTCACCAGAAAGTTCTTTGTCGTCCAGATACACTTTCTCCTCTTGAAGAGGCACATTTCCAGGAACTTCGTCTGCAACCTGGACTATCTCTTCTTCAACTATCTCTTCAACAATATCTCCTTCGTTCCCCATATGCATCATCTCTCCGTTGTCCATTACTTCCTCGCCTGCCAATATTTCCACTCCAAACGTTTGGTTGACAATTTGAAGAAGTCTTTGCTCGTTTTTATCGAAAAGCATCTTGAACAGCAAATCGAATGTGTCGTTGTCTGCTGCAGTACCGAATGAATTCTTGGCGATTCGCCATATTGCCTCGTTTCTGCTGGAACCACGAACCATTCCGGGTGTTGGTTGCTGAAACGGTTTAATGACATTTTAGAAAAAAAACCCTCTAATTTTCAAACTAACCATTGGTCGCATGAAGTTTTTAGAGTCATTCAAATGATGTGTATGCTGATGAGACATGGGATGGTGATGATGAGAGTGATGATGTACTGAGCCATCCATAGATTTTCTCACTTGTGAGTGCGACGGTTCCTCAATTTCTTCGGTACGTGCTACTTGAATATCTCCTTCATCAAGGACTTCGTCGTGCAGCAATTTCGGTTTACTACCCTCTGCCGATGTAGACGGTGCTGATGGATCGATATTAGCGGCCCAATCATCGATATATCCAGATGGCTCAATCATACCATTTTTCAGTTCATCCTGAACGTGAAGCTCAGAAGCGCGCATCGAATCTCCTGTTGCCGAAATAATTTCGCGACGTCGCATATAGTAGAGCATTTTAGTGTTCACTTGAATTCCGTATTTGTCCAGTATCATCTTCGCCACTTCTGGTGGAGTCATTCTGCTCAGATAACGGAGAACGTCTTCGCGGATATGGGGTGGAAGACGTTGAAGAGTATATTCCGCACCGTTGCCATGATTCATATTGATCGGTGTTGGCATCTCTCCAGATTCAGTATACCAATAGATAATCATGGCGTTTCCGACTTGATGGCCATTCTTCAAAACATACGTCACCTTTTTGCGAAGGCGTGGACAACGTGGTAGAGTGGCTGTGTAGACGTGCAGCTGGTACTCAACATGATCACCCCGATTTGCTGGGGTTTTCCAGACACGGAGCTGACCTTCTCTGTTAAGAGCTAGAGGACATTTCGAAGATTTCGGACGCTTTGTAATTCCGTCTGAATGGTTATGTTAATCATTATCGTTTTCAATTAGGTAACATACTTGGATTGGAACTAGTGTTCTCTGACCATGGCACCAGATTATCACATGTCAAATTGCGCGCATCAACTTCAAATCCATCAACGAAAAATACGAACGCCGCTTTACTTGTCGTGGTAGGTGGGCAGCTTGGAACACGGGTATTGAGACAATTGAGCGAATCACTGAAAAATGAATTTGTTTCTATTGGCGTCTGTAGGAATGATAGCTCACATCAATGCTGGCTTGTTGACCAGGAAATGCAGTTGACGGTTTCTATCATTCCAGAAATCCATATCGTGTAGCTGAAGATACATTGATCCGTCTTCGCACATTTGTGGAGGAACAATGAAAGGACACTCCTTTTCAGACTCTGACATGTCTGACACATCATTGTCAATATCATGAATTTGCATTGGCTGAAACTGAGGTCACTTGGACTACGGATGGGAGATATTAGGTTGATGCAAAAGTTTCTTCCGATTTTGAATGCTCAACTATGAGAATCGATAACTGTTCAGTGCGATGATTTTTCTTGCCGGATCTTTTTTTGTTAGATAGAGTATCTCATGGACTTGTTATATACATTTTGCCTCTTTTCTCCTTCTGGCCGTTCACGAGCACGACGCTTTCTTTCGACCCACACCGTCCACACTTTCGTAATCTCAATTTGTTTTTAGTCCTTCCTGGTTTGAAAAATTCTGATATTCATTAGAAAATGAAAGATATAGATAAAGGAATATATCCTATTGTACATAACATCAAGCATTAGACCGATCGTTTCGAAGCCAAAAAAATTGAATCGGTCCGGAAGTTGGACTTGGATCTATCAAAGACTACTGTTAAAGCTGGTCCGTTTCAAACCACTCGTGAAATGTCAAAGGCATTGTCCGTTAGTCAACCAAGTATTGTGACCGGATTGAAGTCTCTTGGCAACTTCAAGAACTGCGTCGATTCGTGCAGGCTTTTTTGAAGGACTATGATATTAATCGCCGTGTAGACATGGGCATGTTTCTCCTAACATTTTTTCACGCGTTCAGTTGGGTGGGTGATCTAATTACTGTAGATGGAAAGCGCGTAAGCTACTCTATCAATGTGCGGAAGGGTCAGTTGATTGACAGAGAAGAGCTAGCTCTGGACGTCCCGGAACCCAAATTTCCCGTAAAAATGGGGATGCTATGAGTTTGATGGTCTTTCGAAGGGATGGAGCCTGGGAACTTTTAGAAGAGGATACCACTATAACCGCAATTTTGTATAGTTCCTAATTAGAGAAATTGGATCTGGCAGTCGAATCGAAACAAGGAGAAAAGACCAAGGTTTACTTCCAGCATGATAATGCGAGATCGCCAGTGACTAGAGGGGTCAGCCAAAAATCCTTTCGCTTGGCTGAACTATTATTTTGCACCCGTCGTATTCTCCGGACCTTGCCTTTTTGGATAAATGGTCGTTTGGGGCTCTTAAACGTCATCCTGATAGAAAAAAACTACAATTGAAAAGATAACACCAAAAAGGAGTTGGCCCACTTTTTCATTCGCAGCTCTGCTCGTTCTGGGCGAATAGAATCAAGAAATTACTGGAGCATTGGCAGACAAATACCGATGCTCATGGATATTACTTTCACTGATCTAGCCCTCCCTGCTTTGAGAAAAATTTGATCAAAAATTTTACCAAAATCGGAAGAAACTTTTGCATCAACCTAATAGCTCGACTCACCGGCTTCTTTCCAGGTCTCTTTGCAAATCTTTTCAGATATCCTCCATGCATTCTAGGAAGGTCTCCTTCCATATTGTAGTCGTACATGATAAGAGCATGACTGACTACCAATCTTGACTCTGTCTCCATCATGTAATAGATCTTCTTTCGAAGACGCGGTTCGCGAGGGTTGATAGAGTAGAGGAAGACCAAATGAAATGGACAAGTCTTGTAGTCGACATCTTTTATCTGTAAACCTAGTATTTCTTTCAAACGATAATTCGAACTTAGAATACCCGGAATTGTGATTCAGCATCGTCACAAACCACTCCAGTTTTTCGAACTTTTGTACGATAACAAGTAGGGTTTTGAGCGTTTCCATTATGTGACCATGGCGAAAAGTCATCTCGATTGATGTCATGCGGGAAAATGGCGGTTCCGGCGACGAAGAAAGCGTATGCACGCGCATTTCGAACTATTGGAGGATGTCCGGGTTTAGCGTAATTAAGCAAACCGCGTTCTTCTCTGAAAAATGAATATATGAGGGGTATTCTTTTAAGTCAGAACTTACACAACGTTGGTGTTAGCGATCCACTCTAAAACTGCCTCGAATGTGCTAGCTATTCTTTTGTGACGAACTGTCAAATATATATGTCCAGTTTCCAATTGACGCGGAGTCTCGTAGTACGGTGCTGGATTTTCTTGTTGTGTCAGCGGATCGTCATCGAATTCCAAATCATAGCCATCATTCAAAACATCTTCCTGTGGTAAATCCGGAATTTCTTCTTCCATAACTTGGCTTGTGTTCAGAACCGGCATCTGCTGCATCATCCCTTGCTGATGATGAACATCTTCGTCTTCATCGTTAAGAGTGTCATGCCCGATGACTTCTTCTTCGACAACTTCGATATCCTCGACATCAATGAACTGATCATCTTCGATGACATCGTTGTTTGGAACGCCAGATGATGTTGATGGACCAGCTCCTGCGAGTGGTTTCTTCTCTTCTGTCCACTGATCCATGTGCTGATTTTTAGAAGGAGTTCCAGTTGATGGTGCTGGTTTGCAATAAGGACCTGGCAAAGGTCCTTCTCGAACATACTCATAGATGTAGCAGACGTTTCCAACGATTATTGCGTTATTGCGTTGAACATAGATGACCTGAAATGATTTATTTTTACAGTATTTATCTTCAATGTTTTAATTTTTGAAATTTAAAAAGAAAAACTCTTACCCTTTTTCGGAGTCTGGGACATCTCGCTAGCACTGACATTGTTTCAACAAGACACAACTGAGTTTGCTGCCATCCAGTATTATCCCTTATGATAACATACTGTCCACTTTCATCCTGAGTCAATGGCTTACGAGTCGAGCGTACACGAGGCGATGGTGCTTCACCGCTTGATTGAACTGTAATTTTAATTTTGAGAATTGCGTTCGCAGGAGAGAAGCGTACGATTCACAGTCCATGGTGAAAGTCCATCTCCAGTATGATGAATCTGATTTGCGACGAAACTTGAAGGCACGAAATAAACAAAAACACCAATAGACTGAATAAGAGGAGGGATATAGGGTGTGCGGCGATTAAGGCAGTTTGAATGATCGAGAAGAGCTGGTTCGTTGACAAGGTATCGTAGTAGTAGCTTCTTATTCTGAGCCCATCCAAGTTTGCTCGGTTTCACACGCAGGAAAATACCTCCGCGAGGACCATTCACAAGTTCGTCCTCGAACTGAAAAAAAACGATGATGGCTGATTCACAGAACTGAACTATTCCTACCGGGGTGCTTCCAGGGGAATCATCAATATCCATAGCATTGTGAGGATCGGAAGCCTCGATCATTGCACTTCTCAGATAGTCGTTTCCGTGTGGAAGATTCACAACGACTGGCACCTCTCCCGGACAAGTGTAGTCGTAGAGGATCAATACATTTCCGTAGATTTGACCGTCCCGAGAGAGATAGAAAATCTGAAATGCGACCGGTCGAGGAAAATACACATTATAGCCTTTTACCTTTTTTCTCAATCTCAATAATCTGGGAAGCCATGCGCTATATTCCGTTAAATGCAGTTCGGCAAGTCGCGGATCAGTTTTGATTGGCTGAAGACGTCCGTCGAGTCGGCCGACTGGATGACGTCGAACATTTGGTTTGATGACTGGGTCTCCGTATTGCTCTCCTGATGAACTCCACGGTTTCAGGTCGTCATTCGAAACATCCTTGATTGATGTTAATTTAGAACCATCGATATAGAATGCATAGCAGGCCTTGTGTTGAACAAGTGGCGGGAGACGAGGTGGTTTTTCGAGTAGCCAACCTCCTTCTCGACTGAAAAGAAAACGTTTATATTCGACTTTTACAACAAAGATGAGTTTTTACATCATATTGATCTCTGCCTCGTTAGTCAGCAACTCAATGATTCTCTCTTTACGAAGCAAATATGCGAGACATCCAGAGATTACCGTAGCATAGCAATCTCCGTTCTCTGTGATTTCCACTTCATCTTCGAACTGAAAAACAAAGAAACAGTTGTATGAGTTAACATTGTGACAACTAACCAGCTTGACATGAAAGTGTCTTTCTGCAAGTGCCCTACTGACAACTCGTTCTCCTTGCATTCTAAATGATTTCGGTGGCATTTGTTGTTTCACACCTGGGATCTTCTTTTCTTTCTTCTCCGCGTCTGTTCCAGAAGATTTCGATCCTTCCATGGTTTCGTCTTCGCCACCCAGGTCTTTCCGAGGACGGCCTCGACGTCTATTTGGTCTGAAACTACCCACTCGTCAATGAAAACACTCTTACGATAAATCTAACAAATTAAGCTCTAAATCAGGCGGTTGCCCATCCAAAAAGTCATCTTCATCTTCATCACCAAATGATCCCATGTCATCTCTTTCATCACCAGCTATGTGAACTCGGCTATCGTTGTAGCTGGACGACACATTGAGAATCGGTGGTCCGTCGTCATCAACAGCGCCACAATACGGTATTTCAGCCTCTGTTCCAAGCTCTTGAATTGTGCTATCATCATATATATGTTGTACCTGAAAATTGAGAAAACTTCAGTTTTGGTTTCAATTATTATTATTATTAACGAACAGATTCAAGACCAGAATCAAGCTGCTCGGATGCTTGAGACGATAGTTCATTGTTCTCTTCTACGCGTGGATGTGTCTTTCTTTTCTTGGATCCTCTAGCTACACCTTCTTCTCGAGCTCTTTTAACGACATTTTTCTGAGATGGAGTTGCCGACGCAGTCGCGGATTCAAGAGACATAACGCCTTCTTCTTCTTTCTGGACACCGGGAAGTTGCAACTCGTAGTCTTCATTGTTATACAGCACAGATTTTCGTGCATTTCGTTTGGGACGAGCCGATGTAGACGATGATGAAGGTGTTTCGTTAATTTGTTCGGTAAGTGACAGGTCTGACTGTGGCTGCTCCCCGATCTCAGTTTCAACTGAATACTCCGGTACGACTATCTGTAAATAGAAACACTACTTTCTATTGCTCAATTACCGCTTTCGTTCGTGATTTTATGTTTGTATCGCCTAAAGTTTGTTTAGGTCATTCTGAATATTTACGCTTTTTATGGCTTTCTGAAATTGTTGCGCGTGCAATTTGATGCATCAATTGTGTTTACACTTCAGTCATATCTAAAACTTCAGTAATATGAAAGACCATGTCCATGGACCGTTAAGTTTTTGGGAGCAACGTGTTTTTTCAACAAATATAACAGAAATATTAACACTTTCTGAATATTTTTCCCAAAATTAAAACTTTTGAAAATCACTACTTGTTATATAGTGTGATTTTCTTCGGTTTTATATACAAGTTTCCTCTAACTCATCCAAATATGTCAATAGCGTAGTCGAAATCATTGACGAACCTGTTCATGTTGAATCTGAACTGCATCATCGCTTTTCTCGGCTTCTTTTGCTTCTTCAGACATTCTGAAAAGTATAACATAGTTACAGAGTCGGTCAAACCGGCAAACGAGAGAAAAAATTCAAACGAATTGATTTGTAGTCCGCAACGCACGCACGCGAGCGTACACCTACTAGAGAGCGCAATTCGAAAAGAGACCGCAGACGACGAGTGTGACAGAAAAAGAGTGCGCCCAGATGGAGTAGGCAAGAGAAAGAATAGCCTGCAGGCGGAGGGCATTGACAAACATAGACATCTACTCCTCAGTTTTTAACTAAAGAATCCGTTTCTCCTTTAGAAAATTGTGGATTTTCAGTTTTTTTCAAGATTTCGGCGAATTAACCACCGGTTGAAACTGAAAAATTCAAAATTACGTTCGTAAAATTACGTACAATGCCTCAAAGCCGACGCAAAAATACACTTTTGGGCCAAAAAACTTTTGACCTACTGTAACTGGTATCGCCGCGAAAATGCGGGCTACTATTTACATGAAAGTCCACAGCAATTGTGAACTTCTATTGATTACGAATAGAATTATGTCTAAATTGGTGCATTTAAAGATAACTGTAGTTGCTTAGTTTGATACCAATCCGTTTCCTTCAGAATAATAAAACTGTCAACTCTTGTTTGCGGGCTATATAGAAAAAGTACGGTTATTTGCACCGAGTCTGCAAACACGCTAGAGGCAGTTACGTAACCTCGGAAATATTGTTCAAGTAACGCTTTCCGTTCGTGGGCTTCGCATAGAACTGAAGCATTACTGTTTGTCTTATTAGTACAGCGTTTACTTCATTCATCAAAAATGACTATCTCAAAAAATTGCAAAATAAATAAATTCGGTTAAAAACAATGTGCACTTCTTCGTTGCTTTCGAGGTTACGATTCGGGCCTGATTGGCCATCATAGGATGTACAAAACACACATTACAAGTAACCAATATTTAAGGAATATACACATTGGGCCAGAAGTATATAGAATTGAAAAAGAGTAAAAACAGCGGTGAGGTGTGCCACAATCTTGAGTCGGATAAATTACAAGAAAGAAGCACCACTCAACTCAGATCACAATCTTCTGAAAAAAGGACGTAAAATTTTGGGACGAATGTATATGATGGGGGGAGAAAAGGAGGCGATTAAAAATTCTGAATGAAAATTACAATGACCGCACACAGAACGCCGGATTGAAAAACATCTGCAACCGTAGTGATCACAGATATCAGTCAATATTCGCAGATATTAAAAGCGAATAGGTTGAAAGAGAGGGCAGTACAAGAAAAGAGAAGGCATTACGACAAGTACACAGGTTATCACAAAAATTTAGACATTTAGGAGTTGCAACACTGTTTCTTTGGAGGTTCGGTAGGTGGAGCGGGAATAATCGTACCACCGCCGCCACCGTATCCCTGTCGGTCGGATCCTACATGCTTATTCGATACTGATTTATAGATCTCAGTCAGAATGTTTGTGAAAGCTGCTTCGACGTTGGTGCTATCGAGGGCAGAGGTTTCTACAAATATATCACATTTCACAAACATTTTTCGATGATTCTCTCACCAATAAATGATAGTTGGTTTCGCTCAGCATATATCTTTGCTTCATCCGTAGGAACAGCTCGCAAGTGGCGCAAATCACTTTTGTTTCCAACCAGCATAATAACAATATTCTGATCAGCGTGATCACGAAGTTCCTTCAGCCACCGTTCTACGTTCTCGTATGTGACATGCTTAGCAATATCATACACGAGGAGAGCTCCGACAGCGCCCCGATAGTAGGCGGACGTAATGGCACGGTAACGCTCCTGTCCTGCAGTATCCCAAATTTGAGCCTTAACTGTCTTGCCCTCCACCTAAAAATAAGAACATTTTTTATAAAGCGAGTAACAACTCAACATACCGAGATGCTTCTCGTGGCGAATTCGACTCCGATCGTTGACTTGGATTCCAAATTAAACTCATTTCTGGTGAAGCGCGAGAGAAGATTAGATTTTCCAACCCCTGAATCTCCGATCAGAACAACTTTGAACAAGTAGTCGTATTCGTCGTCACGAGAGCCCATTTTCTCTGCAAACCTTTGAATATTTTCAATATTGAACTAGATATTTATATAGCGATAGAACATTGGTCACATGATTCATCGCAAGAAGGAAATGTTTTTCTTCAAAATCGATATTGATAGAACAAGAGGTTGTTATGTCTGACGAAAAGATTGGGAAATTGTATGTTCTGTTCCCGACACCGAAAAAATCGGGAATGGAGAAAGAAGAAACCGGTTCTGCGGCCGAAACAGTCCAACCGGCTACAGCTGGACATCTGCCTTTCCGATCTAACAAAAAAAAACGAAATTTGGAAACTTCGCATCAAATCGGGATCGATGCATATTATAAAAGGATAAATACATTTACAGGGAATGATTATATTTAACTGTTAGTCAGACCAAATGTATGAAGAAGGGTTATTATAGAGTCTTGAGGAGCTTATCGTACCAAAAAAGAGGAGGTGAGGGTCGGTACTTTGTTTGCCGACACGATTTCGAAATAGTTGAATGATATTTTACAAAAAAAATCAATTTTCGAGGTAAACCTCGAACCAATTTGAATAGAAATAGACTAAAACGGTAGAGTGATTATTCAGCATGTTTGGTAATAGGCTTCTCATAATTTGAAATGCGTGTGAAAACCGTGAAGGCGAACGCGAAACAGGTCAGGCGTACCGGTGCAGCCACGTCGTTCTCAGCGCACGCGTCGCAAGCCGCAGCGCGTGACTGGAGAGGGTCTCGCCACGAAAGAACTACCGTACCCCTCAGCTGCGGCGCTCTCGGAAGAGAATTTCTCTATTTTTCTTTTGGCCTAACGAATTTTTAGAAGTTTTCGAGCTTTTTTGCTCCTTTTTCGGTGTTTTTTTTTTGGCAAATTAGTAATTTTGGTTTTGTTTATACTGTTCACCTAAAATTTTGAAAAAAGTGCATTCCGTCCGAAAATTCTATAATCTTGAATAGGTTTTGCTTTTCTTTCACTTTCACTTACCTGAAATCGAAAAATTCAATTACTCTTTTCAGGGTATCAATCGCCTGCCATGGCTCCAACGTAAGTTTTCTTGTTTTTCATATTCTCGGGGCGCACAACTCGCAACTGTGATAGGTTAAAATGATTTTTTTTCAGCAAGAAAGTGCCACAAGTCCCAGAGACTGTGCTCAAGCGCAGAAAGCAGAGAGCTGATGCCCGCACCAAGGCTGCTCAACACAAGGTCACCGTCGCTGCTGTAAGTCATGAAATGTAAAATTGCTGTGTTGCTCTTCAAAAGCACTGGTTTTAGGATCCATTATTATCCAAGCCAGCCGTTAAAACTGAGCTATAAAAAAAATCTTGTTTTTGGGTGAGGTGTATTCAAGTCAGAATGGATCTCAATAACACGATGACAATTTTTTAAAATTATGATTGCAAACAAAACATCAAAAATTATTTGACATACGCTTTTTGTTTTCAGAAGAACAAGGAGAAGAAGTCCCAGTACTTCAAGCGTGCTGAGAAGTACGTTCAAGAGTACAGAAACGCCCAAAAGGAGGGACTCAGACTCAAGCGCGAGGCTGAGGCTAAGGGAGACTTCTACGTCCCAGCTGAGCACCAGGTCGCCTTCGTTGTCAGAATTCGCGGTATTAACCAGCTTCATCCAAAGCCAAGAAAGGTAATTTGAATTTCGCATGAGATTATCGAAACATTTTTGATTTCAGGCTCTCCAAATCCTCCGTCTTCGTCAGATCAACAACGGAGTGTTCGTCAAGCTGAACAAGGCTACTCTTCCACTTCTCCGCATCATCGAGCCATACGTTGCTTGGGGATACCCAAACAACAAGACCATCCACGATCTCCTTTACAAGCGTGGATACGCTAAGGTTGATGGAAACCGTGTTCCAATCACCGACAACACCATCGTCGAGAAGAGCCTCGGTAATAATTTTTATAGAAATTAATTCCTAGTTTACAAATTTTCAGGAAAGTACAACATCATCTGTCTCGAGGATTTGGCTCACGAGATCGCCACCGTCGGACCACACTTCAAGGAGGCCACCAACTTCTTGTGGCCCTTCAAGCTCAACAACCCAACCGGTGGATGGACCAAGAAGACCAACCACTTCGTTGAGGGAGGAGACTTCGGAAACAGAGAAGATCAACTCAACAACCTTCTCCGAAGAATGGTTTAACTTTTTCGTTGTTCATACCTTCCTTCTGGATAAATCGTTATTGTTTGTCGTTTGTTTATTATGTGCATAAATAACCATGAAACGTGATCGTCTTAACTAGCTCGACTCATCTTGCATTTCATGAAACGACCATTCGGATGCATCGGAAAACTGCTTTGCTCACTACTCTTCCTAGAACTGTCACAGTTCCTTATTATTCACCCTCTTGCTTATTCCTAGAAACGGTTTTGAGAAGCAAACGAATTCCTTATGATGTAGGTTCACATGCCCTAGTTGAGCCAATAATTTGTTCTCCAGACTGAGCAATGCTCCCTTTACAATGTTCTTCCAAGAGAGCATTTGTATCCACTGATTGACTCTGATGGTTTTTTCTTCAAAAATGTTATGGAGGGACTTGATTTCTTGCTAGCAAAATATGGAAAAGTTGGAAAACATTAGTTCAGTTCCTAAACATTTTGTTGCAGTCTCTTGATTCGGGTTTAACACCTAAAGAACGTGCGCAAGCTTTAGCTTTGAGTGCTTTGCTTGATGAGTTGACCTGGATGTTAGCCTATTCACGTGGTCAAGACTTCTCCTGGCTACGCGAGGATCGTAAGATCATCGAAGATTTCGGTCTCGTACAGTTGTATTTTTGGAGAAATTGGATTGTGCCACAAATGCAAAAAAGGGTGAGAAGACTATTTAGAACTGGGAATAGGAATAGGTGTCATCCATGTTCAGACCCGTCGTCGAGTACGTGGATACGGTTTATCTGGGAAGTCTGCTGGAAAAGAAGTGACTATCCGAACGGAAGCAATGCTGGAAGCACTTGCTTCACTTCTAAACTCAAATAAGTACTTCTTCGATGTCAATGAACCGTCATGGGTGGGTTGCCAGTTACAGATAAAACAAATTTGGAAATTAAAGAAAAACAAAATTGAACAAATATCATGATTTATTCATAGGCTATGAAACACATTTCTTATTTCGCAATATTTTTGGAACAGGAACTAGCACTATTTCCGGCAATTATTCCTTCCCTTTTCCAGCTGGATTGTAAAGCATTCGCTGTGTTGGTTCAATTCAAGTACACTCCGTTGCACAATGAAGCAAGACTCAAGCAATTCATGAAGGATAGAACACCGAATCTGGTGAGTTGTCTATGGTTGAAGAATCTAATTGAGGTCACCGAGGTGGTTTCAGATGACATTTGTGACCCGAATGAAAGAGGAATTCTGGTCGGATTGGGTCACAATTTCGGATTGAGGCTCGAATTTCAATACGTAATCGAAATGCTAATTTTATTTATTTTGTCGCTTTAAATTTCATAAATAAATATGCTTTGAATGAGTATTTACAGTTAAGAGTTATTAAAGATTAAGAAACATCAATTGCCCTCAAAGTATGTTGTGGTACAGTATCCGTAGCAGCACGAATTAAAGCAAAACGTGAAAGCTAGTATGTTGGAAATTTTCACTGAATCAGCAATTTAAATATTTAGGCTGGCCAAAACGGCGTTTTCTGGCGCCACACGCCGCTTTTAATTTTTGCACAGGCCGCCAGTGCCAGTTTTCAAAGCGGCGTGAATCGCCAGAAAAATTTTTCACAGGCATTAAACGCCAGGTTTTTAAAATATGTATTTTTCAATAGAAAATACTTCATAGAGGAAAGATTGAAAAAGAAAAAAAACGACAGATGATCCGAAACAGTGAATGAAATTGATATTTTTAGTCCTTCGAAATATTTGATTACTTCTGGAATTCTGTTTGAAATTTTGAAATCTGGTGTCCGAAGCTTTTGAAAAATGTTTTCCGAAATTTCGGAATTTCCGAATTTTAAAAAGTCTTTGTGTGATTTTGAAAGTTTATGGATTTCATGAAACTCTACACTTTCCTGAAAGCTTCCGAACTTCGAGTTTTCAGGATTCAAGAATTTTTGAATTTCCTGAAAATTTCAGTGTTTTCATCGTTTTTCAAAAACTATTTTTGGAGTTCCTGTACTGTCATGCTTAACATTATTGAACGATCAAAAATGTTTGATTCCTAAATTTTTGAAATTTAAAATGTCAAGATCACTAAACTTCGGAGTTTTTTGAAACCTGCATTCTGAAGTCCCGAAAATCAAAGTTTACAACTTCAACTTCTAAAAAGCTAAACAACTACTCGATCCAGACATAATCACAATAACCATTAATGGAAGACTAGTGGTAACTTCTCAAACACCAAATTCGTTCTAACATTTTATAATTCCCATTCTATCTCTTTAACCTCAATTATCAGACTTCTTGTGAAACATATGACCAAACTGTCAACTGCCAAAATGTTTTTCTTGACATTTGGAGCATTTTATCAGTTGACGGTTTTCTGCTATCGTTTATAAGAACTGAGATAATTAAAATTGAAGCTACAGTGAGAGGATATTGGTGAACCAAAAGGTAAATTCTATTCTCAAAAAGAAAGCGCGTTTGACGCCGGTTTAAATCTTAAACAGGCAAATATTGCCTGTTTACAAGGGAAGGTTTTTCAGACAACGGTTGAGAACTTGCCAAAAATTTGTACAAAGGTACTTTCGAACATGCTGAATCCGAATCCAAAAAAAATTTTAGCCCGTTCTCAAAAGGAGCCGAAATATGGCCTCTGAAAGTGCTTTTAGTACTAAATTTTGGCCAAAAACATGCATTTTTCGAGGTTAAAAAATAGTTTTTCAGGATTTTCTTGAGTGCGAAACTCATTTTTGGACATTTTTCTATCTTCTAAAGTAACTTTTAAACATTTTCAAAAACATTTTTTTTGAAAAATTTTGAAAAAAATCACCATGGGGTCCCCCACACTTTGAAAATGATTTTTTGAAAAGTGCGAAAAAACGTTCCAATTATTCAGAAACGATAAAAATAGCATTCTGGCAAATTTTTTCAGCCCAATGTTGTCTTTGGGCTCAAAAAATCTCCAAAATCTGATTGTTGTTAGAACTTTGATAGTTCCTATTTCTGAAATATCGCTTGAACTTAACTGAAACCTATAGAAATAGGTTCGAATCTTGTATGTGATCGATTTGTGAGTACTCCACCTTAAAAAGAGCAAAATTGAGCAACTTTCAAAGAATGAAATTTTCGTTTTTAACGATACGAGGATGTAAGAACCGGTCGAAAAGACCATTATCTATTTTTTCCTCAAACTCTCTTTTTTTTCTTTGAAAACTTTTGAAATTAATCAAAAAGTGTCATATAGTGTCTAGGGGGGCAAATTTGGAATTAAAAATTAGTTTCAAAAAATGCAAAAAAAGTTTTACCACAGTGGGGGTCGAACCAGCATAGTCCACAGGTCCTGGGCGCGCATACGCATAATGGATGGGCGACGGAGGACGCGCCGATGAATTGGGTACAGGGAAAGGACGCCGGTATGGGACATATACGGGGCATATGGGGCACACCGCCGCCGCAAAGCTCTCCTCGCCTGGCTTGCTGGCACTCGATGAAATGAACTAAAACGTTGGTTGGGGGTTCCTAGAAGTATCAGTTAAGTTCTATTGTGATGTGATTTTGTTCAGGTCATCCGATTTCGTACTTTTCCTTTATTATTCCATATTCTTTTATATTTTGAACGACATATTACTGATTTTTTGAAACTCAATGTTTTGGTTTTGAAAAAGACTTATGGCAGTTTCCATTTAAATTTGATATGCAATCAAAAACAGAAGAAAATGGGAAAAAATTCGCTAAAAATTGTTTTTTTTTCATTTGTTCAAAAAATATGTCTCACTTTCACTTTTTTTGAAATTGCATGAAAAATTGAAAATTTTTATAATTTACACTTTGTAATTATTGTATACTTACCAACTTACCTTTTACTCCACCTGAAAATACGATTTTTACAATAATTACAAAGTGAAATCTAAAAATCTCAATATCACCTATTTTGGCGAAAAACATAGCAATTGACGAGTGAAAGACATGTTTCTACAAGAATTCAGCGATTTTTTAGTCTGCCATAACTCTTTTTCACAATAAACATCGAAGGAATAATCGAAAAACTAGAAATGTCGGCTCGAATTGACGAAAAATTGACAAAGTTGCCGGTGTGGATTTACGGTAAACAATGCGCGCATCCGGGATTTCGAGTGTTGTAGTCGGCCTACCGTTTCAGACCCATATCGCACACATCGCCCACCCACCTAGAATCCATCTAGGATACGCGCGCATTCGGAACACTCGATTCAGCCTCTCCCGCATCGCACACATATGAGACTCATCGCAGCTCATTGTTCGCGATATGTGTCAAACGGACTTCTAGAGATCGCATATGGATCGGGTCCTTTATGCGCATCATCGCCCAGGACCTGTGTCAATCCTAATGAGTCACCCTCTTACCACAACACCACACAACCGATATTTTCCTCTCACGCGGAATTGGTAGAGGAGGGAAGGGGAAGTCGAAATCCCCAGCGCACCGAAATCGGCCCAAATTTTCAGACAAAGTTTTTCGGCCTGGGTGTGAGAACGGGCTAAAAATGTTTCGTCATTGTATAGAGCATGTCTTAAAGGTGGGGGGACATGAAAAAAATAATGTTCTCGAAATTCCGTTCAAAGATGCCTCTCGAGGAGTTGAACTTGTGAAGGCGATGATTGAGGGTGCGGCGCCGCTACCGACTGAGCCACGCGGGCAAAGAGAAAGCGCACGCCCGATTGCATACATAAAGACGAGGACGACAGCTGTACGCAGAGTGACATTAAGCGTTGTACACCGTCACGGTAAAATGCATACTATAGCTACAAAAAAACTACGAAAAATCTCCTGTCCCCCCACCTTTAAACTATAAGTATGCAAATTTTGAGCAAATTCTTAACCGTTGTCTAAAAAACCTTCTCTTGTTAGAAATTTCGCTGGCTTTTAATGCAAATCACGTAAAATTGAAAGACCCATAGCTCTGGCACTGGCGGCCAGCAACAACCCTATAATATTTCTTCGTATAGTTCGACCAGATCTTAATTGCAGTAACTGACAGGTATTAATTAAATCTACTCCCAAATAAAAAAATACGAAAAACATAGATAGAAGTTCAATGATACTCTTCATTCTGCTTCAATTCGCACTCATTGTCCACCTCGTGTTGGTATGTGGTGGTGGAAAAAAGAAAAAGAGCAGTGGAGCTTCAAAAGAGCCAGCAAAGTCTAAAATGAATGCACCACAAGCCAATTCCGTGAAATCGGCAGTTAAGGATACAGAACAGAAAGCAACAAAAGAACCAGCAGCACCACCTCCGAAGCCTCCAAGTCCACCGAAACCAGTTGTTGAGGACACGAGAGTGGCTGAAATGATGCCTGAAAGTGTGAAAGAAGACGAAATGAAAGGAGGTATCAAACTGCCGGCTCCACCTAAAAACTTGGTTGGTTATGGAAATGGGATTTATTCTTAATGGATTATTTCAGAAATGTGAAGCCGACGTGGCACCGAAGGAAGCGAAAGAAAAGGAAAAGGAGAAGGAGGCAAAGAAGGACGAGATTATGTGATCCATTGATACCTGAACTGACTGATAAATAAATAAATATTATTTTTATTAATATTGTATTAATATTATACGGACCGAAGGTCCCACAACAGCTGCTACCGTAACCTAAAAATATTTATATTTTAAGGAATTTTTCTGTTATTTTCCCCTAGAAAAGTCGGAAAATAAACATTTTCGATAAATAGTTTACAAATTGACTGAAAACGCATGAAAATCGAGAAAGTTCGGAAATTAAATATATTTTTGGGTTACTGTAGTTGTCGTTTTGGGACCTCTTCCACTCCGACTTTTTTGTGCCAGAATAGAATTCAGGGAACGAAAATATCAATCTGAAAGAAAACGAAGAAGAAAGAATTCTTATTGAATCATAACACAGTCATTAAATTTTTATGACTCAAAATAAAAGCATCTTTTAATTGGCATAATCCATTCCCTCATCTTTTTTCTCTTCCTCTAATCCAGTAAAAGTGTTAGAAATACACATTAAATCATACAGAAAAAAGATCTGACCAGTTATCCTATTCGAGACGGAACACGGAATCTGAGAGAGAAAAAAAGAGATGTAGCTGAGAGATTACGGGCGTAGGGCTCGACACTTTCTCTTGGAATTTCGTGGTGGAAGAGAGAATTCCGCTAAAGATGAATATCAGCGGAGAAACTGGTATGAATTGGTATATAAAGGATGTAGATCATACCAAAAACTTTGTATCTTTTTCTCATTTGTTGTTTTGTTTGCATTTTGAAGTTAGAGAAAAAATATGAAGTCATTAATTGACGATGAAGACGTGGAAGTAAGCAGATTCCGTCGTAACGCATTCTCAGCAGTTGCTCTTTCCACTTCTTGTATTCTGGCGATTGTGATTCTGACCCCAATTGCTTATCAAGCAATTCAGAGAATTCATTCAAACCTTCTTAACGATGCACATTTTTGTCAGGTTTGTTTTAAAATCTCCGTTCCTTATTCTTTTTTAAAAAATTTCTTCTGAAAATTCCAGTCTCGAAACCGTGACTTGTGGACAGAGACGATGGAAATGGCTAGAAGTCGTGGAAGAGATGAAGAATTAGTGGCACGAACGAAGAGAGAAGTCAAGGGAACGTGGCTTTTCGGCCAGTACATTCCAGATAGATCGAGCAGAAACCGTAGACAACAGTACGCCGAAGCACAGGCAGCTGGAGGAGGAGCTCCACCGCCAGCAGAGTGTAGAAGAGGGCCACCAGGACCACCAGGAGACAGTAATTGGTCTGTTTTATTGATTTCTCAAATCAGGACTTTTTCAGATGGAGTTGATGGCAGTGATGGAAAAGATGGAGCACCAGGAACAGATGGAAAGAACGGAGAACAACCACAAGCTCCGTCTGATGCCGGATATCAAGAAGGACCATCTGATACTGTTGAAGCATGTGTTAGAGAATGTCCTCCTGGACCACCAGGACCCACTGGAGCACCAGGAGACAAAGGAGCAAGAGGATATCCCGGAGAGAGTGGAGAACCAGGAACACCTGGAAAAGCTGGACCAAAAGGAAACGCAGGACCGTAAGTAAAATTATCAGAATCTATCTAAATTAAATTCTACAGCGCTGGACCACCAGGACCGCCAGGATATCCAGGACGTCCAGGAGAGACTGGAGGTAATGGAAAGACTCTTGCCGGTGAAGCTCCACCAGGTCCACCAGGACGTCAAGGAGAAATGGGACCACAAGGACCACCCGGACCACCAGGACCCCGTGGAAAGGATGGAGCTGGTGGAGAGAAGGGGGCACCAGGGGATCAAGGAAATCCAGGACCATATGGTAAACCAGGACAACCTGGAGAGCCAGGATCCGATGGATCTGCTGGTGAGAAAGGATCTTGTGATCATTGTCCACCACCGAGAACACCACCAGGTTATTAAGTTTCTGTTTTTTTATTCGATTTGTCTGAAACTTATTTATTCATGACGTTTTGGTTTTTTTTTTGTTGCAATACCATAATAAATCAGTGTTTTTGATACGTTTTCCTTTTATTTTCTTGTTTCCAATGGGAAGTATTGCGAAATTTTCCCAACGAATAATCTTAAACTTTCTATCTTTTCCGGATTATCCAAGGTTGAATGTGAAGAAGAGCTCTCCTTCCCATTTTCCTCTGGCTCCGCCCCTTTTCCACGCATTGGATAGTGACTCGCGGAACCCGCGAGGTGTCGGTACACACTCCGCATGTACACCTCTCCGTTTCCTGACAAATTTAGCTTTGCGCTGGGGCGATAACGTGACCAATGAGGCTTTGCCGAGGTGCGTTTATTGCTGGTTGAAAACTTTTCCCAATTGCCCGCGATGTCCCCTGAAACATGGGTGACATACGCAATTTTTGAACGCCTCCAGGAGGCAGAAGACAGAAATTGGAAAGATCCTGAAAAAATGGGGAAGAATCAAATGGATCAAATGGATGATAGGAATATCAGAACAATCAGAATAATAATTCATGAATCAAATGGATGATAGGAATACTGAAACCATACTAGATGAATGAAAAGAGTCGGACTGCAGCATTTTAGGCTGAAAAATAGGCTTTTTGTTTCGCATGACTCATTTTTCTGAACATTTTTCATTTGATTCTTCCTGCAATTACTCATAACTGTCAGAAAAGAATGATAAGGCGATAATTGATTTCTCGAAACCTATAAAACCGGAAGCCCAAGTCAAAGAATTCAGAATTATCATGATTCCTATTCTCTCTGTCTTCTTTCTTCTGTTCTCTTCTATCGAGAGCTATCGTAAGTGAAAAATCAGGAACTAGGTCCTAGAAAAATGAAAATGTCAGCAAATCCAACTCCAACAAATGGAACCTGTGCTTATGATGGACTAACAATGGCGGATCCATATGATCTAACTGCCTATTACCAGTGCTGTAAGAATCAATGGTTTCTCAAGTATTGTTTGGAAAGAGAGATTTTCGATAAATATGTGAGCGGAATACAGTTTCTACCATTATTCTAAAATTGTTGCTGTGGACGAGAAACGCCGGTGGCCGTGGCCGAAGGTCCGACAACGACAACTACCGTAACCTCAAAATATTTTTGTTTTCAGAATTTATTTTCTCGATTTCTACTCCTTTTTGTCGGGTTAAATTTAGAAGGGTCCTTCCTGAATTTTTGAATTTGTGAAATTCTGATATACCGAATTCCCTGACTCTCAAAAAATTTGAAATTCACAATTCTTAAACTGCTGAATTTTAGAATTTGAGAGATTTGAATTTTTAAGTTTCTGGCGATTGATTTTCGGAATTTCCGAACTTTCAATTTGAAAATTTGAAAATTTCTCAATTTTTTGTTTTTCGAAATCTCGGAATTTTTCAAATTTTTAATCTCTGATTTGAGATTCTGATCTACAGAATTTCGTTCGCAAAGTTGCTTAATTCCGGCGAAATTGATAGATTTTCATAGATTTACATAGATTTAGAATGAGAATTCGCCAAATTTTTCGAGAAAAACTAAAAAAGGGCCCCCTCTGGTTGAAGGGCCCCTGTGATAGAAGAGCGCTCCAAGAGGGGTTGGAACAGTAGAAGGACCGGTTTTTCTAATATATGCTTCGGATTAATTAGGTTACGGTAGTTGTCGCTGTGGGACCTTCGGCCACGGCCACCGGAATTTCTCTTGTACCAGAACAATAATTGTAGAAATCTTTCAGAAGCTGACTTGTATTCTAAGTGATTCTCCAGTACCAACACCTACCAGAAACCATCATCATTTCCGTCCGACTACACTCGTCTGCACTCCAGGAGATCGGCGTCAGAATCCTTTCGATAATTCGAAATTTGACGAATGTGTTGATGGAATTCACTGGGTAACCGAGTCCTGTCAATTTGGATTTAAATTCAATTCAAACACAAAACAATGTCAATATCTTCCAACAACCACCGACTGCTCTGTGGGTGATACTCGTCCGATTTCAAATGGAGACCCTTCTAAATATCTGCTCTGCGATGGTAATGAATGGGAGATTCGTGATTGCTCAAGTGGATTCATTTATGATCAAAATCTCAAAAAGTGTATTCAAAAATATACAACTCCTGGTGTTCCAACTCAAGCACCAAATGGTTTCTGCCAAGAATCGATGTCTCAAGAGGGATATAAACCAAATCCACAAAATTGTCAAACTTATTTCCAATGTGTTCATGGTAATTTAGTCCATCAGTCGTTGAAAATCTCAAAAAAAAAAACAAAAATTCCAGGGGAATGGCAGCTTCGTAATTGTGGAACAGGAACTAAATGGATGCAATCGATCATTGCATGTGATTATTATAACGGTGTTTGCTAGATTTAATTCATTTATTGACAAGAAAAGAAAGAATAAAAGAATATAAATATCACGGTGGCAAACAGTAGAGGAGGTTCAATTAGATTTCGGTTTCTTTAGGGTCTGGCAAGAGGCACATCTTCTTCACGTACTTTTTCGAGATCATAGCTTGTCCGAGAAACCGTACCGGTCTGTCGGCCTTCACGGTCCAGCGTTCGTCGGCCTGAAAATGTGTTATTTGTTGAAATTGTTAATTTTTATTGAATTCTCACCTTGTTGAATACCATATTGGCATCCTTATCAGTCGCTATCATCGTTCCACGAATGAATCTTCCATCGGTAAGCTGGACCTGAAAATCGGTGATTGTAGGAAAAGAAAATTTTGCAAATTTCCAAACCTCATATCGTTTTCCAATGTACTCTTGAACCTTCTTGTGTACCTCTGACTTTTCGGCTGGCTCCGTCGCTTGCGATTCGATTAAATCTCGACTCCGACCTTCCGACATCTTTAATTGCATGATTCTGAAGTTGTTAACACAAGAATCAGAGAAATCGACATGAGTAAAACGTCAGGCTAAAACCAAATTTAAGTTTTTTAAAGAAAAAATTGTCCTATAAATAACCGCTGCAAAATGTTTTATCACAACTCGAGAACAGGATTATCACAAAAATAGAAAATTGAAAGAAGTATTTGATGGAGGCTAAAAGAAGTAGTATTCATGAGAATTATATTTAATTATGCATAGACTAGTGTATCGAGAATGATTTGAAATATCTTTTTTACATATTCAACCGGGCATAAAGTAGATAGTTTAAGTGAATTGGAAAGATAATTTTTCGAATATTTCTGGGGGCAAGTTTAGTTGATTTAACTGCAAACACGGTGAACTAGAAAAGCACTATATAACACAAAAGAAACAGTTAGAAACGAGTGACACGAGTTGTCGGACTGGTATCATCATGGTGGTCTATATGAACACGAAGGATGGCTTCCGGTCGAGAAGGAGTCAATCCAGCTGGGCGTGGTGGAGGAATAGGACGATCCGAGCGAACAGTGTTACTTCGACGAGCCGGAGTTGGTTGGTAGGCGTGTTCGTATTTTGCTGGGAACTGAAAAGTGTATTAATTTCGTATAAATAGGCGCCGCAATAAAAAGGGGCGGGGCGACCAAATTTTTCTCCCCTTTTCAGAAGTTCATTTTTGAAGTCTTGTACCGGGCGTTAGAAACGCATTATTTTTTGGGTTAAAACTTGTCCCTACGTAATCGACTGCGAAAAATCGAATGGAACCATCAGTTTTTCAATATTTTCATTATTTTGATTCGAAAACTTCGAAAAATAGGAGTCGGACTGACAAAATGGGCTAAAAGTGTTAGATGGAAGTTCGTGCCACCAGATTTTTTGACGAATTCTGGTAGTTTATGAAATGGGAGATTGGATTTTGAAGAAAAATCAAAATTCGTATGTGGCCGTAAAACGCGATTTTCAGCCAAAGTTCCAGCCAAAATAAATAAAAAATTTCAGCGACGACCCCAATTTTTTTGCATATTATGGTAAAACTAAGTCTTGTGTACACCTGTGTCAATTTTTAGAAGGATTGATTACCTTTAAATAGTTTTCATACGCATCCGAAAATTCTAAACTTGCAAAATTTCCGGTTTTTGGAAGTTTTGAGGATGACACAGATTAGTGCCACCGAATTTCTTTTTACCATAAGATTCTACGCAAAATTTGCCACTAAATACAATCCTAACTTGAAAATTCGTATGTGGCCGAAAAATGTTAGACGCCTGTTTCCTCATCTTTCGTAGTGCAATCTATTAAAAAAACAAGAAGGAGGCAACACCGGAAGGAGGCAGCAGGCAACGAAGAGTCGCACATTCTTATTTCCCCTTTAAGGCTACCACCGCGGGTGCAGCCGTGGCCGACTGGATAGCACAGGTCCTGGGCGATGATGCGCATAAAGGACCCGATCCATATGCGATCCTCTAGAAGTCCGTTTGACACATATCGCGAACAATGAGCTGCGATGAGTCTCATATGTGTGCGATGCGGGAGAGGCTGAATCGAGTGTTCCGAATGCGCGCGTATCCTAGATGGATTCTAGGTGGGTGGGCGATGTGTGCGATATGGGTCTGATACGGTAGGCCGACTACAACACTCCGAAATCCCGGATGCGCGCATTGTTTACCGTAAATCCACACCGGCAACTTTGTCAATTTTTCGTCAATTCGAGCCTACATTTCTAGTTTTTCGATTATTCCTTCGATGTTTTTTGTGAAAAAGAGTTATGGCAGACTAAAAAATCGCTGAATTCTTGTAGAAACATGTCTTTCACTCGTCAATTGCTATGTTTTTCGCCAAAATAGGTGATATTGAGATTTTTAGATTTCACTTTGTAATTATTGTAAAAATCGTATTTTCAGGTGGAGTAAAAGGTAAGTTGGTAAGTATACAATAATTACAAAGTGTAAATTATAAAAATTTTCAATTTTTTATGCAATTTCAAAAAAAGTGAAAGTGAGACATATTTTTTGAACAAATGAAAAAAAAACAATTTTTAGCGAATTTTTTCCCATTTTCTTCTGTTTTTGATTGCATATCAAATTTAAATGGAAACTGCCATAAGTCGTTTTCAAAACCAAAACATTGAGTTTCAAAAAATCAGTAATATGTCGTTCAAAATATAAAAGAATATAGAATAATAAAGGAAAAGTACGAAATCGGATGACCTGAACAAAATCACATCACAATAGAACTTAACTGATACTTCTAGGAACCCCCAACCAACGTTTTAGTTCATTTCATCGGTGCCAGCAAGCCAGGCGAGGAGAGCTTTGCGGCGGCGGTGTGCCCCATATGCCCCGTGTATGTCCCATACCGGCGTCCTTTCCCTGTACCCAATTCATCGGCGCGTCCTCCGTCGCCCATCCATTATGCGTATGCGCGCCCAGGACCTGTGAGGGGGCGCGCGCGCCGATCTTACACAGGTGATTCGTGATTGACCAATTACAGAAGAAGGGCTATAATCGACCAATTACTTATCTACCGCGAACGAGAGGATCTACAATTGACCATTCGCGAGCAAAATGCGTACCTTACTAACTGGCCCTATAAAAGGTCCGCAATTGAACAATCGCAAAGAAAATCTTGTTTTTTATTTTCCGAACTTCTTTTTCTTATTTTGGATACTTTACTTTTTTTTTCGCCGTTTTCTTCGCAGTTTTTGTTCGGAATCTTTTAATTAACATATAATACTATACTAGAATACTTTATAACCATGAAAGGAAAAAGTTCTGGAACAGTGGGTAAATTTGAAAACGAATATCAGAGAAAAAAGTTGATTTCAGACGGAAGTGTTAAGTTCGCGGATTTCGAAAAAATTTCCAGTCGATAACTTGTGTCAGAGGTATAGTACAAAAAGAATTGGGAGCTTAAAATCTAGATAATTCATTTCAGTTACTTCGAAACAACAATCAACATCATCTTCTGCTCATCGTCATCGACTGAGGCAAAAATGGACAAAACGAGAAGCTCCGATGCCGTTTCAGCCAGTTCGACAACAGCGGAAGAGAATAATATAACTTTTAATTAATTGTTTTTTCGCTTTTCATTGTTTTTTCTGTGTAATAAACAATTTTTAGCAGCTGCTAGCTTCCAGATTCGAAACAATATATGCCAATTATTGCTCTCGCGACAAGCCAATTGTAGGAGATTTGCTCGCGATAGGGCGAATATTGGTCGTTTGCGGTGGCGCGTTCGCGATTGGTCTGTAAATGGCCTGCGGCAGGCATGTTCCGATGTACCCATGGCGACTTTCCGCGAACAATATTTCATTTATTATAGACGCTGAGCGAATCACCTGTGTTACGCAGGCGGAGGTTCGGGTCTCACTCGCATCGAATAGCTTTTTCTTTAACTTCCTTCACGAATTTTCCGCGCCGCAGGATTGCAAGCTTCTAAACCCCGCCCACTTTTCTGCGCACCACAAAACAATGAGGAGAAAGTCAGTACATTGAGGTCTGGTACAAAAGGGTCTGTAACTCGGGATTGAATGAAGATTTTTCGCTGAAAATTTGGGAATGGACTTCTATAAAGTAGGAGAAGACAATCCAACAATAAAAACTGGGAAAAATCTATTTTGAAATTTTTGTTTTGGTGCCTACGTATAAAATGTTTAAATTGGTATCATACACTATCCAAAATCGGAGTCTCAATAGTTTTCGAGTGCTGTCGTCGGGAAGGAGTTTCATCGAATGCGTATTTTGAAAATCCAACGATTTGTTCTTTGGGACGCATCACAATCACCGGGGATTCCGATCCGATTGTTTCAGCTGCTTTTCGATTTCTTCTCTCCAGTGTCGATTGGTCGAATATCGGTTCAGTGGTAGCATTATTACGGACTGGCTGGAAACATCCAATTTTAAATAGTATAGTAGAGAACTATTAATCACCGTTTGTGTAAATGAAATGGAATTATTGAAGGTAGAATCTAATGAAATCGAATCCAAATCATCGGGACGTCTCATATCCGAATCATTCAATTCCATGATAGGCCTCGAAATTTCAGGAATCGAGTAGGGGTACGCAGAGGAGTACTGTAATTTTTTAGTTTCTTTTATTACCAAAAAATGATCGATTTCTATGAATATTTCTCACTTCTTCTGGCAGTTCCAAATGTTTCTTCCATTCAGTGCTTCTCCATTTTTTCGCCATCTCTATCATCTTTTCATCGAGAGCCTGCTCATCAGAAAGGTTTCCAGAATTTTTGCCATTTGCTGGAAGAATCCATCGGAGATAGCAGTCTGACCAGAGATGGATATCACAGAATTCAGTCGGAGGACGGATGGATTCGCATCGCAAAAACTTGGAGTGGGGAGAAATTGGCTGATCTGAAGTGATTATGAATTCTTTTCCATTTGGAAGTAAACTATAAACCCACTTTTCTTGATTGACTCTATAAAAAGTGATGAATCGTGCCAAACATTTCCGAACATCTTCAAATAACTCTTCTCATAATATCGATCCAGAGGGAATGGTCCACCGCCTACATGAGCAACTAGTTGTTCTTGTAGGTTGTTACACGTCATCGATGGAACCATTCCAGTCAGCGAGAGATCCCAAAGCGCAATGAGAACATGTGGAGAGAATGTGAATCTGACGGATGTTAAATTTGAAGTGCATCTCGCAGATGTTCCTTTTTTTGACTCAAGAGAACAACTGGTCATTGAATTTGTATAGTTTCAATTTCTCCTATTTTCACTTCAATAACATGTGACCTCTATATGTGTTTACTCTATTGAATAATCTATTCAATGCTGCTAATGTCTTTTGTTTTTCTTCAACAATTTGTTTTTTTTTTCAAACTCACTCGAATGTATATATTCTGTGAAGCTGAGCAATACAATCCAAAAACAGAAGCCACGTCGGATTGATGCCTGTTTTCGAAGATGGCATTTTCGTCAGTTGTTTCTTCTCTTGCTCTGTTGATAGAAGACGTTCTCCAAACGGGTGGCCCAGCGCAATCCACATTTTTTCAATTAGCTGATGGAGGCCTGTAGTTGTTCTATAGAAAGGATCACAACAAATCTGAACCAAACTAGCCACCACGATCGATAGATCTTTTCCATCCTCTTCTGAAAATGAAGTTCTGTTAACTAAAACTTTACAACTAGTATAACTACCTTGTAAAATTACCGAACGATCTTTATCAATTAACCATCGAACAGTTTCATGAGTCACTTCTAGACAAGATTGTACGGCATGTAACCATCCAGTTCGATGTACTTTTGTGCTCCAACTTCTCTGTCGAGACACATATTGCTCGTAGGAATCTGAAGGAGATATATCTCTGATCTTTCTCGTTTTATATGAAATTACCAATTGCACATAGCGATAAAAGATTATCGAAAGCCTTCCCGATACGAGCAACAAATCCTGAATCTAATTTCAAAATATGCGGTTTTTCACCTTCCGGATGACATCGTGCAATACTATCTTGTACTCTGAATTGTCAATTATATAAGGATATCAATTGTTTCAAAGTTACTTTGCTAGAATTTCGGACGTCGCTACATTGTGTTCATGGTCGGCCGAAATGAACAAAGATCCATTTCCGTTGGCTCTAGACCACACCCAAATCGGAAACCTTCCATGTTTAAAATGCCGCATTTGCCTATCGAGATCTTGTCTGGACAAAATATTGCACACCACTACATACAACGGATATCTGAAAAAAAGGTCAGTTTGGATTAACGATTAATTTCTGATCTAGTTTACCCTTGACCAGGGGGATTCAATCCATCTTTGTGGAGAGCTAGAATGTTCCATTTTGAAGATGAATCAGTTTTCTGTTGACATCTCTGTAACTCTGCATGCCACGCATCGTATCCATTGTAAGGCACTGAATTTTGAATTGAGAGAATTAGAGGGTTGAGTTATTCTTACTTTTCGCTTTCTGTCCTCGATCTTCCATCGCCGCTCCCACTTGAGTCATCTTTTCAATCGGTCCACTTTTTGAGAAAAACAAAATCTGATTGGCCAAATGAGTTCCGTTTTGAGATCGTCTTAAATCGATTGTGACCACTCGCATATCCTTCAATGTCAGTCTAATGACTGAGGCAGTTTCCATGCTAGAAATACTGTACTCTATTCGGTGAAATTTATCCGGTTTTCCTCGACTCCCACCTAGAATAAAATTATGGGTTGGATGCCCAATTTTGAATGAAAAAGTAACCTCTGACCAATGCAACTTCCATCTTGGCGATCGCGGTGAGAGGCACATCGTAGAAATCGTCAAAAAATTTAGATCTCTGTGGAACATCTCTCTGAAAATATCATTTTTAAGCGTATTTTCTCAAAATACTTACTTCTTTCAAAATGATGGGAATAAACCGTAGTCTAACTTTCGTGCATATCACTTTTCCTTGTTCCGATTCTCCGAACTGCATCGAAAACGACACATCGTCGCAAGAAGAGCTTCCAATTTCATCTGAATATTTTCAAAATTAATCGAAAACCGAGGTTCAATTACTAACTCGGTAGTAAATCTATCTTTTTCTTTTCTTTGGAAGCTCCCATATCTGATGTTGCTGGAATTTGATTTGTTGCCGCTACATGAGGCTGAAATTGAATCCAGTTACAGATAATCAACAATTTCCAACTGATACCTTTTCGACATAATCCACAAAACTTGTGAAACTCGACATTAGAGCATCTTAAAAGTACTTATTTCTTCTTTTTTTGCAAGAACTCTCAGAATTTCGATAAATTGTGATTATAGACACACGATGAGTATGTATTTCAACAGCCAATTGTTTGAAATCAAATTTATTTCATAACTTATCAATATAATCTTTTTTTTTGAGGTGGACTTATTGTAAAAACTTTCGCGAGAAGCAGAATTTCCAGTAAAATTATGCATACAAATGAAACAATATTCGATGAGTCTTCTGATTTTTGTTATGGGCGAAATGGTAGGAAAGATTGAGCATTTTTTCGTTTTTTTTTGTTGTTGTTGTAAAAAGTAAATTTGATAAAAATTGGTTTAAATGCAGAAAAAAGAGGGAACCGTTTAGAATTGGGGGGGGTGGGGGGGGGGGGAGTTTTTCGGATGTATACTTCTGTTTGATTCCTGGATAAATTTTTTGAAAAGCAAAACAAAATATGACAAAATCAACGAATTTCAAGAGATGACAAAGACAAATGGAACAGAGAAAAGAGAGGATGAAAAATTTAAAAAAACGGACTAGAATTGGTGGAAATTGTTTTGTTGACTTGATACATCCAAAATTATTACATTTATTAGACACCGTGTGGTTTGAAGTGTTCGTCTCTCATACTGTCTTCCGTATTGATGTTAATTTTTGGAGAACCTGCAAATTTCGTAATAATTGAATTCAAACAAAATACGAGGGATGAATGAGTGATGCGAGAGACTGAATTTTGGTGAGATGGGGAAGACACGAGAAACAATTTTCTGTTTAGTCAGCTGAATGAGTCACTCATCTCATGCTGTTTTTGTTTTAACAGACTATGAACTCATTCTAAATTACCTGTCCAAACGAAGGTCTATCCTGCGCTGATAATGCCCATGTTTCGTTCATCACTTTGAATACTTCGGGTGGACACCCTTCTGGAGCTTCCATTCGATAACCCTTTTCAATATACCTCACGACGTCTTGGATTGGCTGAAACAAAATCAACGTTTTTATATATTGAAATTTCAGTGAGCGTAGCTTATAGTGAAACAATCCGTGGAAGTCAGAGCTGAGAACTTATTAGATAGAGAGAGAAAATGTATTGAACCAAATCTGGGGGATATTCGGGATAATACGGTGGAAGTTGAAATAGGAGGAAACACACATTTCGGGGGAAACACACGAGCATTGCTTTTGATTTTATAGAGAAAAGAGAGATAGTTCGATAGAAGTGGGATTGAAATGAAAAAGTAGCAAAGAAACTAATAATACATACCGAACGACCATCGGTCCCCTGAAATAAATGAAAAATGAGCAGGCGGTTCCCAAAAAATTCAGAAACTAGGAGATATAGATAACAACGGGCATTTCCTGTGAGATCGGAAAATTTTTTGAGCATTAAAACTTACGATTCGAGGATACGGCACCCTTCCGAATGAGAATATTTCCCATAGGAGGATTCCGAAAGACCATACGTCCGATTTAGTAGTGAATTGCTGAAAATTCAATATATATTACTAAAATTTACATTTAAGAATAGCTTACACTATGCCTTAGTGCTTCTGGAGCTGTCCATTTAATCGGGAACTTTCCGGATGCTGAATCATTAGATTGACTATTCGCCTTCTTCGCCAATCCAAAATCTGACACTTTGGCCACTAGATCTTCATCCAGAAGTACGTTCCGAGCGGCAAGATCCCTATGAACGATTTGTTTCGATTCTAGATAACACATTCCTTGACATATATCTCTGAAAAATGTTGTTTTAATTTTTTGGCTAATCTAATAACTTACATCGCAAACATCATTAACTGCCTCCTTTCCAATGCATGCCTTCCCCGGGATCTCAACAAATCGATCAGATTTCCATTTGCCATGTATTCAGTTATCATGTAGACGTTCACATCATCCAAAACCACTCCTACCAAGGTAACTAGATTTGGGTGGGATAGTCCTCTGCAAAATTCAGAATATAGACTATTATTTTTTTATTATTTTTAAAATACTTACACCATGAATTTAGCTTCATCTAGTAACGAATCGAGCATTCCATTTCCATGTCGTTTGGACACTTTTAATGCTACTTTTCGATTCTTATAAGTTCCCAGTCGGACGTCTCCAAACTCTCCATGACCAATTGTATCACCTACATCGATTTCGTTCGATGGAATTACTAAACCGGCGTGTCGAAAAACAGAAGTTCGATCTTCTAAATCAACCGTGGAGGAAGATCCAAAAGAAGAAGATCCGTTTGATGAGAAGGTAGCTGTCTCGCAAATAATAGGAGTTACTAGTCGATGACACAATCCATCAGCATCTCGTTTGTAGTGCTGAGAATGTTAATTTTTGAAATTGATTCTCTATTTTTTTTGTAATTTTTCTTCCCCAACAATTCGAATCCTTCAACAAGTTCTCTTCAGCTTATATCATTAATTTTTTATCGCTTCTTCCCGCGTCCCTTCCTGTCTATCCGTTTCTTTTCTCGCATCAGAATAATTTGATAACTCTTATTTCTCCTCTAGCGTCTCTTAATTTCGCTTTATCACCCCGCTTACCCGTTTATAACCCCCATCGCCTGTCTTCTCAATAATAATACCGGTTTATGACCCGCGTTCTCACACACCCCATCCCAAAACGAAATGACTCACCGAGACCAACTGTGTCAAATTCGAAAAATACTCTTCTTTGTCGCAAGTTAGCTGACCCCCTGACGTTTGTTCGATGCGATAGTGTTCCACTTTGCCGTGGTACGCCATGCACAAAGTGAAATCACCGGGAAAGTTCGTTGATTCGCGTACCAGAAACGTACCATCGGGTTTTCCACGGAGTAGTCTGTAATAGTAGGATAGTGGCTTGATTTCTCAAAAGGCTCACTTTTCTGTATTCTCTCTGCTTATCATGGAATGAAACCATGGCTGATTATTCGCAACACTCGAGTGATGCGATGACGTGCTTGAAGCGGTCGATGCTGCTCCAGGATCACATCCGCTTGCTCTCATTCGAACAATTCCGTTTTCGTATGACTGACCACTGAAAAATTGAAAAAATTAAGAAGATTATATAGGCGAACTGAGTGTGATTTAAGAAAACCTGTTTTTATGATTGTAGGTGTTCTTTGTCATAAATTTAAAATCACAAAACGTACTTTACTCTAACAACACAATCGGCATGTACAAGTCCTTCTTCGTGACTTGCATTCCTTGCTCGATACCATGCTGGATCCTGAAAAGCTATTTTTTCAATCCTTCGACTTTTAACTAAAAACCATACCGATGTATTCCCCAAAATTCTAACATGATCATCTTTCCTAAACACGTTATCCCTTGATGGCATTCCGTGTGAGTAGAACGATGGAGAGACTGTCCTAGTCACAATAACATCATTTCCAGGTGATAGAAGATCCCGATTTGCATTCAAAGTGTTCATTCGAGATTGTGATTGGATAGAATGCGACGAGCAGGAGATCGGAATGCTTGTCGGAAAATGATGATGATTGTAGCTGTTGCCGTTGTTCATGTCTGAAAATTATTTTATTTTTAATTATTACAGAAGCTACAAAAATTCACATACTTGAAATACCATTCGTTATGAAGTCGTTTATTATTTTTTCTATTTCGGCGTTCGATACATGTCTCTCTCGCCAGGATGTGCTGAAAATTTCTTCTTCTTTTTTTTCATGCTTCTTTCTGTTTTAGGAATGGCATGACTCGCTTTTCATCACAAAAATGACTCTGATTTTCCATAATGGGGTTATTCACCAAAATGTAGAAAAATTCGGAGAAATGGAGAAAATTTCGCAAAACCGCGGAGAAAGAACCAATCTCGCTGAAATTTCGGAGAAAATCGGAGAAAATTATAGAGAGCATATTCACAAAATTTAGAGTCAAAATATCCACTTTGAACATTTTGTCTGAAATTCCAGCCAAAATTTGAAAATTAATTTTGCGACC